GTGGTATAGATTGAACAAGATCCTGGAAACCTTCCTCAACCTTCCTAAAATCAAGGGCCCAATAAAAAAAAAAACGGCGTTCTCCTTTAATAAAGTGGTCGGTGAGTCTAGGTTACATTATGTTCTGCTCAACTCAAGTCATCTAATTTTCATCCCATAGATCTAGGGTCAACATCCTTTTTAAGGCTGAGGGCTACTTCATGGATACTGGGTTGTAAAATCAGCTACCATTACTGACCTATGAACTGGAGGCATCTGTTTACCTGATACACATGCATGATAAACATTTTTGTTGTTTCTTTTGATTTCTAATTTTCTTTTATACCGTGTCATTTTGAAATCTCTATGACTGTTTAAATACTAATATGATTAAACGCTCTAAAAATAATTATAAAGAATGTTAAAACAAAATTCCATAGTCCACTGCTGAGTTGTTCTGTTTCAAGAAGAGACTGAGGGCATCCCATGATGGCCCCTTGGTGCAATTCCTTTCTCTACACTTCCCTCAGCATTGACTTTGTGTCAAGATGTGGTTCTCTGGGCAGGACCCAGTATAGAGACAGGCAGGAGAAGAACAGTGAGTTAGAAATGATTTAATGAAAAGTCCAAGAATGAGACTCCATGAATATAGGCTGGAGAGGCATGAAAAATGAATCAAAGTATTTTCTGATGAGGAGCGTAGAGAAATTACAGGCATAAATACAAAGGGAGAAGGAAGGGTTGCATGAATATCTGGTAGAAAATAGGTCGGAGAAGTAAGCTGAATGAAAATCACCACACAGTGGCAGGAGTGGAGCTGAGCAGAAATAAGGTGAGAAACTACCATACAATAATCCCAGCAGAGAATAGTTCATAAGAAAAATAATTTAATAAAACATATTAAGAGGAGTAAATGAACAACATAATATTTAAAAGCCAGAATAAACAACAAGGCGTGTGTTTTACTTTTTAATATGACCCAAGATTTAGGAAAATATATAAACTGTCACAGTGAACTAAATATTTTTCACCTGTCATCTTAGACAATTAAAAAATTAAGAAAACGCTGTAAATATTAGGGCTGCACAGTGCAGCAGTGGGTAGCATTTATCCCTTGCAGCAAGACGGTTCTGAGTTCGATTCCCGATCCTTGGTCTTTCTGCGTGGTTTGCATGTTCTCCCTGATCATGCATGGGTTCTCTCCAGGTACTCCGCCTTTCTCCCACTGTCTAAAAACATGACTGTTAGTTTACTTGGCTTGTCTAGGTGTGAGTGTGTGCGTGAATGAATGTTTGTCCGATTTGTCTCTGTGTTGCCCTGCAATGGACCTGTTCAGAGACTACCCCACCTCTCCCCATGGACAGCTGGAGATAGGCACCCGCACCCCTCGTGACCCCAGCAGGGATAAGCGTGATTGAAATGGATGAATGGAAATATTTTTTCATATAGAAAAGAAAAATCCCAACACTCTTGGTACAGTTTAGAAAGAAGCATTTTTTTTTATTTCTTCTGGTCAGTGGAAAACTTTAACAGATCTTTTAAAGATCCACTTCCTCATCCACACTTATCTTTACTAGCGCAGCTACTGAGCCAATCTATCTGGCAAACTTAACTGCAACTCTTTCCCAGTTTTCCACTATACACTAAGAGCTACTTTCATCAGAGGGAACAAAAACAACCTGTGTGTCTGTGATCTCTTTATATATTTTACTGGAGCTTAGGATGTCAAATAACCTCCCAGATTTTATGCAAAGCTTTCCATCTGTTGGAGAGAGGGTTTGTTCTTTAGTAGCCTTACGGTTTGGGGGTTATGACTGCTACAGAGTCTTTATCCTGCTCCTCTTAATTCAAAACCTCCTGCCAGACTTGAGCAGTGTGAACAGATTGTGATGTGGGTGTGTAAAGTCCCTAAAGATGTAGTTGGCTCTTTCAAGCAACTTTTCTGTCTATTATCCTGAATAAGAGGGAAATAATTCTCATCAACTGTCTCCACACTCTGACAGTGAATCCCCCCACAGCTGTGCAGCTGACACACTCCATAGAAAAACACACAATGGTGCCCCTATATTAAGTCCTATTGAGGGATGCTCCTATAGTAATCAGTGATTATCCTTCAGAGGAAGTATGAACACTAAACAGCTTTATTTACCAGGGATTCTTTTTGCCCTGCTCAGAATAGGTTGTTTTTCTTGTTTGACTGAAATTCTGTAATTTAGATAGAGTATGATCAATTGTGTCCCATTATGTCAGCTGCTCAACCAATAGTATCTACAGTAAATGGAAATATTTAGATATTATTAAAAGGGCATATTCTTACCCGTTTCATTCTGCTTGGTGTCACAAAATTACCCAATGCTAAAGGACTCTAAAACTGAAATTGAAGATTCATCATCCAAAGAAGTAAATACAATTCTCAGCTATTTTATCTGGAAAAATATTAAACCTCTTTTGAAGAATGAATTTCTCTCAACACCCAAAAACACAAGGAGGGTTTGAATTATACATTTTCAATAACTTGAATAACACCTTTAAAATAAAATAGATCAAGGAATGGCACAACACCCCTAAATCAATTTTTTTTATTTTTTTATTCTGAATAATATATATTTTTTTTCAATTGGGTGGTCTACATTTTTTACTCACCTGTTGTCATAATCGGTTTAAGGAATCTGTCACATACAAATAATTTATTTATGTAACTAAGGGTATCCCTATAGAAGCCTTTCTCTCTTGGTCCGATGAAGCACTAAGAATAAAACACCTTCTTATGACTGACCTGCTGCTGATCTTCAGAGCCTTTTACTGTCGGGCTTCCTCATACATTACAGAATTGTTGTGTCCCTATACCTTCTCTCAGAGGCTGAGGTCTCGGAACCAGACCCTAGTCGTTACAGGACCAGGGGAGAATAACTCCTTTCTTATCCTTGCTCTTACCTGATTCTGCTGATGTTTTTAAGAACAAACTAAAAACCTATTCATGTAATAAAGCATTTTAATTCTAGAAGATTAAGGGTTGTTTTATGACCATGTCTTTTGTGACTGTAAATGTACGTGTATTTTTATCTGTATTGTAATTTTGTGAAGCACTTTGTGACCTCTATGTCTGTGAAAGGTGCTATATAAATAAACATTACTTGCTTACTTATTTACTCACTAAACGTTTTTGTATAACACTAAATCTATATACTTATGTGCCTAATGTTGCTTAAATATGCATATACTATTTTTAAAAGAAAAGGATTTACTTTCATGGTGGATTTTCCTTAACATATTAATAGATAAATTATAGCCCAACAACCATTCAGGTGATCGACTCATCAAAATCTAGGACAAAAAGGTAGGGTATAGCTTCCAATTATACACTTTAATAAGTGAACCAACTCTTTGATTTACCCTTTCTTGACGTGTTAGATCTTGCATTGACTTCTGACCATTTTATACTTTTTTACTTGTTCTGTTTTTGCAACCTTAGAGTCTGATTTCTTGCATCTTATTTTTTCTTTTTTTACACAGGGAGACCTTATTTCTTGAGAATAGTTCAATAACTATTATAACCAAAGGTTGCAATGGGAGGAGTCTGAGAAAGTCTGTAGCTCCTGTAAAAAAAAAAATAGCTTCTGGCCTGAAAGACGTTTACTGATTTTAAAATTTTATTTCAGTTTAAAAAAGAACAAAGTCAGAATTCTGACTTAATCTCAGAATTCTGACTTTAATCTCAGATTTCTAGATCTTAATGTAGATGGGCACCATGAAGGAAGAGATGTGGGAGCACTCTGCTTCACTGACAAAAAATGTGAGTTGTTTGGGAGGAACAGTAACACTTTGAGTAACACTTTGGTGAAAAATTGTGACTTTTTGCATGCCTAAGGGGTCCCCGGTGATGCTATTTCATATTTCAGAAGGAGATTAAAACAAGAGAGCTAATCTCTAAAACAGACATGGCTACAGCTTAATGTTTGTTGGTTGTCAGATTGTCAGAATTAAGAAAAAAAAAAGTCAGAATTCTGAGATTAAAGTCAGAAATCTGAGAAGAAAATCAAAATTCAGAGATTAAAGTCAGAATTCAGAGAAAAAAGTCAGAATTCAGAGATTCGACATAATTGAATGTTGGATGATAATAGACTTCAACAGTTGTCTCATAACTGGACAATCCGTGTATCATTCGTTCTTTCTATTTTCAATTGCCAATCAAAAAATAAAAAATTGACTGGTTATTTTGTTATTTGTTTTTTATGGTTAAACCAAAAACGAAAAAAGGATTTGTTTTTCATATATCAATTCTAAGCTCAGATCAAGAATACGAAATGGAAAAACGGACAGCAACGCAGAATTTGTTTTTAATATTTAATCAGTACAGTTTACGTGACCCGGAAATAGCTCTTTGTGCAGCAGTTGGGGTAATGAAGTAGCTACCATGGCGACGCTAGAACCACACACTATGTTGATCGAGAAGCTGTTTGTTGTTGCTAGTTAAAAGTACAGTGCACAGAAAAGTTTCAAGAAAAAAGTTATACCTGGAAAATCCTGCAAATTTTCTCCGTTGTCATGTCCTCCTCAAGAGTCACACGCTTGGATCCTCGAAATAAAACGTAACTGTCCATGGCTGATAGGTCCGACTGCCTTATCTGGTGCAGTTTGATCGAACGTGGTGGGAGTAAGCCAATTGTTTTTTTAGCTAACGCTCCACCAAACTTCCGGGTCATGTAAACTGTACCGATTAAATATTAAAATCAAATTCTGCGTTGCTGTCCGTTTTTCCATTTCGTATTCTTGATCTGAGCTTAGAATTGAAATATGAAAAACCAATCCTTTTTTCGTTTTTGGTTTAACGATAAAAAACAAAAAACAAAATAACCAGTCAATTTTTGATTTTTTGTTTTTTGATTGGCAATTGAAAATAGAAAGAACGAATGATACACGGATTCTGGACATTGTCCTGCAGGCTTTGGTTTGTTTTTATTGGAGATCATCACTCCGAAACGCGCTGCGGCGCTACAGTGGCAGCCCTCCTCCCCTTTGCATCAGTCAGTAATGCTCTGCAGAAGAAGCAGGGGAAACAGGAGAAGGCTGACCTGATATTTGCGTCCAAGGGAGACCTCACTGGGACGGGACGGGTACCGCAAAGCAAGGTAACAGACGCGCCTGTGGCCCTCCTTTAAACCCACCACAGCTAGGTTAAACATTACTGAAGCCACCTTCCACGGTGAGGTGTTTCTGCAGGGAAGCTGTCAGAAAACAAGCGGAGGGGAGGGGGCGGATTGCTGGGTCGCTTTAAACGGACTAGCTGCAGCAGCCAGGCGGCGTTAGCTCAGCTGTCACCGCAGATGTTCCACCGGCTGAATGACGCGGAGGTGTCCGCTGTCCAAAGCAGCCCTCTAAGCAGCAGGGTTAGTGTCGCTGCAGCCGCCGGGCAACAAGCCAACAAAACAGATGTCAAAACCTGAAACCTGAGGGGGAAAGTGTGGAACCAGGAACGCTGGATAATGTCGTTATGTTTGAATAATGAAATTATCCTCCAGGCTGTTCGTTAATGCCCATCTTTGGCCCTGTGATCAACTTTTCTCATGGAGCTGTCCTTTTCCCCTCCTATGATTAATTAAATTATCATCATTACTACTCCTATGCAGAGGCGGAGCTAGATGGGGGGCCGGGGGAGGCCATGGCCACCCTTACTCAATCACCCCCCCCCCCACCCACTGTGGCCACCCCTACCATTTTTATTCTCAAGTGGAATATTCTTTTTAATTTAAATTAAATCACTTTCTATTTTTTTTATATATTCAAAATTGCTTGACAACAAAAACACTGTGATTAATTATACCCATCAATATATAGATGATAAATACAGAATTCATGCTCTTTCCAGAACTACATTTTGTGTTATAATGGGGTAAAGAGAAAATGTGTTTCTGCAAGTCATCTAGGAGTTTTCAGTAAAATCATAGATGAATAACTGTTTTAATAAAAACATATTAAATAATCAGTTGATGTAGATATTAGTACATGTAAATATCAATTTTATGCAGAATAATTGTTGATAAAAGTAGGTAAGTAGGAAAAGATGTTCGCCCCACAACTCAAACCTGAAAGAATTTTATCCACCATACCTTTAATCTAGGAAGCATGGATTTTTAAATATATGCGTCTATTTGTTAGCAAAGGCTGTAGGAAACTATAGTTAGTCTTAACTTTGGCTTGACCGTGCGTGCAGTGGTTAGCGCGCATGACCCATATACGGAGGCCTTAGTCGTCGTTGTGGGCGACCCGGGTTCTAGTCCAGCCTGTGGTCCTTTGCCGCATGTCCTTCCCCTCTCTCACCTCCCCTTTCCTGTCAGCCTACTGTTGAAAAAACGAGCCACTAGTGCTGTAAAAACTCAAAAAATATATATATTTGGCTTGACCCTGAGGTTCTGGCGCCTATCCACTTTCACCCACCCCTCAGTGTACATTGGTTATTGCCTGGCCACCCTTATAAAAATGTTCTGGCTACGCCTCTGCTCCTATGGGTGGAACAGTTTCAGAGAAAACGTGTGAGGTTTAAATCCCCTTACCAGAGGTTTTTTTTCCTGTGTTTCTCCATTAATTTGTGGTTTATGGAGAGTGCGTCTTGTTTATTATGGGATTTCCTGTGATAACCTGGTAATCCTGTTTGGTGACCCTGCAATCCGAACCCTTATACACAATGGATGAGTGATTTCATAATATGTGAAGCTGGTTTCTTTTTTTTTTTTTTTAGTACAGTGTCCTGTCTGTCAATGTGGCAATAAGAATAATTGTCTTGATGCCAAAAAGAGAGCCCAACAGATTTTGCTTTCACAAGTGGAGCAGTACGGCTAACGCCATAGTGTTTCGCTTGATTTATGCATATAAATTGCTTTATTATAATTGATGCAGGGATTATTACAGATTATATGGACACTGCAATGTAAGCAGAACAGGAAAGGAAAAACAGAAAAAGAGGAGATAAAAGGGAGATGGAGCTGGTTTCTAACCGACACCCAGATGGTTGTGTTGGGAACAGCAGCACAAACTGTCAGCATCCTCTTCCATATGATGTTCCATATGAATTCAATTGGGTTTAACACTTTAAGGTAGCCAAAACCATTTTATTTACAAGTTACTATAGTGACTTAACACGACTACATTACTGGCTAAATTATTCATGTCAATAAAGTTGTGTTAAACATTTTTTACTCTAAACATCCCTCTTTGTGTGTGATTTAGTCTCAGTAATATTGCTGTTCCATTAAGGATTCAGGGCTTTTTTAGGCATACACTATGATAAGATTAGATTAACTTTATTGTCCCAAAGGAAATTTGATTTGGGTAAAGACTCTGGCTGCCACATAGTCCAAACTATGTGTCACATTGCATTCACACATAAAGCACTGCTATAAAAATGTCATTATAAGACAATAGATAAATACATAAGGAATAATGTTAAATTACATTCACAAAAAAAAAAAAAAAAAAAAAAAAATCTGTTATTTGAGATACTGAATGCATAAAGAAAGCATGCCAGTTTAGTTTGTTAGTTTAGTTTTTGCTCACTAGTACAAAACTTGATAGAAACCAAAGGATAGACTAAACTGAGGTTGGAAATCAATACCCCAATTTGACGTCTCATTCTTTAATCCATTATTTGAAATTTGGCATGGCAGACCTGTTAAAAAGACGAGGTGAGCCACCTAAACGGATAGCCTAGGCAAAAAGAACACTAATAAAAGTGGCAGCCAAGAGGCCCACAGCAAACTCATGAGGAGCTGCAGAGATCCACAACTCGGGTGGAAAACAAGCTAAAAGGACAATGATTAGTTGTGCATTCCATTGTCTTCATGGGACAGAAGCAAGAAGAAAGCCATTATTTGAACAGCACCATATGAGGTCCCATTTTCAGTGATAACACAGCATACGTGCAGTAAAAGAAGCTGCATTAGTAAGACGAGAGCAGCTTCAAAGGTTTGACAATACAGGAAATGGGTCAGTTGGTGGAAAACTGAGACTGTAAATGATTAAACATAGAGATGGCAGCATTATGGTTGCTTTTCTTCAGAACAAACAGGAAAAATGTTCTCTACGAATAGGGGGATGAAGCTGAGCACATGACATTTTTTTATTTAACTTATAAAAATCATTAAAAATAAAGCAAACATCCAATACATGAAAATCCTAAAAAAGGGAATTGTAACCAGATGTCATTGTAGTCAGTCAGTGAACAGAAAAACAAATTTTTCCGCTATAACTTTAAAGCTAAATGTTTTATATAAAAAAATATGCAACAATCAAAGAAAGGGAAGATTTCTTTGACGTCGAGGTGCTAACGTCTCTGTTAAACACTTTACAAAACTCTGAAAATGGAAACGAAAGGTGGATTCTTGATTCTCGACGTCGGAGTACACAGAGTGAAGCGAAAAGACTACAACTGTGTAAACAGGCCCCATTTCCGTTTCCGGTGGCAGCGGAATATTGACTATTCCTACAGAACTCAATGGGATTTACAAAATGCTAAATAAAACACTACAGGAATGTTTTTTCTTCACAAAACTTTTTTTGGAACGTCATTGAACAGCGCTGACGACACGGTGAGTAGCATATTTAAAAAAAAGAACGTTTAAGGTTGTTTTAAGGACATTATCGGACATGCTCTATGCAAGCCATTCTGAAGCAGCCAGGGGGTGATTCTAAATGAGCCAAAAAGCAGAGACAGGACCAATTGTCAAACTTTTGGTGTCGATCATTCGATTTCATCCTGGACACTACAGAAAATGGGCTTAAAGTGTAAAAAACCGAACTTCTCCTTTAACCTTTATTATTTATTTTCTGAAAAGTGTCATTTCAATCAAATTGAATTTAATTATATTATGATTCAATTTTTTAAAATTTTTTCTGCCCTATTGCCTGAATACTATAGTGAGTAAAAAAAGTATTTGAATACACTTGTATTTTAAAAGTTCTCCGTCTTAGAAATCATGGAGGGATCTGAAATTGTCATCATAGGTGCATGTCCACTGTGAGTGAAAAAAATCCAGAAATCACAATTTATGATCTTCAAACTATTTATATGTATGATACAGCTGAAAAAAAAAAAAATGGTATTTAAACACCTGTCTAAAGAATTCTGACCCTCAAAGACCTGTTAGGCTGCCTTCTGAATGTCCACCTCCACTCCCCTTATTATCCTAAATTAGATGCATCTGTTTGAGGTCATTAGCTGCATAAAGACACCTGTCCACCCCATACAATCAGTAAGAATCCAACTACTAACATGGCCAAGATCAAAGAGCTGTCCAAAGACACTAGAGACAAAATTTTACACTTCAACAAGGCTGAAAAGGGAAAGTTATGTAGTCAGAAGAGACTGAAATAGAACTTTTTTGGTCATAATTCCGTGTTTGGTGGAAGAAGCATGATGAGTACCATCCCAAGAACACCATCCCTACTTTAAAGCATGGGGGTGGAAGCATGATGCTTTGGGGGTGTTTTTCTGCACATGGGACAGGGCGACTGCACTGTATTAAGGAGAGGATAACCGGGGCAATATATTGCCAAATTTTGGGGACAAGCTCCTTCCCTCAGTAAGAGCATTGAAAATGGGACGAGGCTGGGTCTTCCAACATAACAATGACCCGAAGCACACAGCCAGGATAATCAAGGAGTGGCTCTGGAAGAAGCATATCAAGGTTCTGGCATGGCCTAGCCAGTGTCCAGACCTAAACCCAATAGAGAATCTTTGGAGAGAACTCAGACTCTGTGTTTCTCAGCGACAGCCAAGAAAACTGAGGGATCTAGAGAAGATCTGTGCGGAGAAGTGGGCCAAAATCCCTACTGTAGTGTGTGCAAACCTGGTGAAAAACTACAGGAAACATTTGGCCTCTTTAATTGCAAACAAAGACTGCTGATTGATTTTTTTTCAAGCATTCAAAAAATAATTGCAGCTGTATTATAAAAATAATTATCAAAAAATCATACATTGTGATTTCTGGATTTTTTTTTTTTTTAGATTATGTCTCTCACAGTCAGCATGCACCTACGATGACAATTTTAGACCCCTCCATGATTTCCAAATGGAAGAACTTCCAAAATAGCAGGGTGTTCAAATACCTATTTTCCTCACTGTATAATAATGATAATAATAATAATATAAATTATAATAATAATTGATCTCAGATTGATCTCACAGTACATAGTAAATATGACACTCTTATGTAAAATAAATGAGGTGAAGTGAAAGTGAGACAGCGTGAGCTTTAAAGGCCAGAAGGTGTGATTGTTACTTAACATTGTGGAAATAGATTAAACCCCCCACCACCACCATCACTCGAATAACAAGATTGCTCAATCATTTTAGTTGCCTATTTATAAAGTAGGCTCTGTGACAAAATGCTATGGCTTAATATAAATCAAAAACCTTTCTTGCTGCCCTATGATGTTAAAATTTTTAACCACATCACCTCATAAATAATGACAATTAATATACATACTAACCTGGGAAAAAAATATTTTTAACTAATTTAAAAGTGTTTGTGTTAACTTCAGGCTTAGGCTATGAACTCTGTGATGCACAATGTTATGGTAAAAAATGTCTTGACACTTTTTCTTCCGTTGCATCGTCACTTAATTACCCTCAGGGAGTAAGTCTCCTCATTAGTGTGGGAAGGCTGACCTATTTCAGGGATACCCGCTGGGCTTGTAGCATTAACCTTGATGTAGACCTTTTTGTGGAAAGGTGCCAGCACCAAAGACAAGCCCTACACCTTCACACTGTGTTTAATTAGGAGGGAAGCAAATCATAAGGTGGGATCTTTGCATAAAAGGTTGAACTGATGACAGTATAAGATAAGGTTATATGCAAAATTGCATGCCTCTTAATGCTTCTACTACTTTTGTTTTTTCAGGAGTGAAATACTTTGTAGATAATGTACAAAGATGGTGCCTTGTCAAACCCACGTGTTGCTGAAGTGGCAGGAGCATTTCAATAGTTCCTGGGCTGCAGAGGACAGCACGCTGACATCCAGGAGGCATGAGGCAGCCGTGCTCTACAACAAACTCCTTCAAAACAAGGAGGTGGTGACTTTGGCGCAGCCTGTTCAAGAACTAGCCGGCCCAAGGCTACCTGACTTTGAGTGTGAATCCAGCACATCGGCTGAGAAGGAAGAGTACCTGTCAGCTTTGCTTCACAGCCAGCGATGGCTGGCTCACCGCATGCTGACGCAAACCGCCTACACTCTGGGCCTCCACCAAAGACTGGTTGTTCTGCAGAGGATTTACTACGCTCTTCACAGCAAGTATCATGATAAGTTTCGCCTTCAGCTGCCCTCTCAGTCCACGGACAGCGGCGCAGAAAGTGGGCAGATTGAGCTGGCCTCAGAACTTCGCCTGCCAGGAGGGGGTTCCAAAATCAAGTCGGGTACAGATGTTCTGATAGAAATGGGTGTAAGGACGGGTCTGAGTCTGCTCTTTTCTTTACTGCAGCAGAACTGGAGGTACGCAGCCTCTGTGCACCCAGAGTCGGTGCTTTGCAATGACGTACTTTCCACAGCATCCGCTGTCCTGGCTTCTCTGCCACCTCTCTCTCTGGCTAATGAGAGTAAAATCCCATCTGTGGGTTTGGACTGCCTTGGACAGGTAGCTGACTTTCTGAAGAAGACCTCGGTGAGCAGTGGGAGCAGTGGTGCTGACCCAACTGGCCGTAGGCTGGCACTAGAGCTCCTGCTTGGCCTGGCCATACAGAGGGGCTCTTTGAAATTTCTACTGGAGTGGGTGGAGGTAGCTTTGGCAGCATCCATGCCCTCCTCCACCTCAGTCCCGTCTTCCTCCTCCTCCTCCTCACAGAGCTTTCAGCAGTCACCTGGCATGGGCTTTGACTTTATTCAGCAAACTCTTCTACAAATGAGGCAATGCTCGGTAAGTCACTTGGTCTAAACAAAAAAAAAAATTACTTTGTTACAATTAAAATTTGGATCAGCTTAAACAATCTCTGATCTTTTAGCAATAAAGGAAAATTGTTTTTGATTGTCTTGTAAACTGAACCTTTGTGCATTTGACTATATGTTTTCCAATATGTTTTTGGTGCAATAGAGACTGGAGGATTTATTATAGTACCTCAGCTAATTGTAGATATCGCTGTTATAATATATTTGATGTTTTTAATAAAGCAATGTTTCCACAGCAGAAAGTTTGCTTACATTCAACTAATTACAGCTAAGTTTTCCTATTTTGAGGTTAACCTTATAATGAATTTGCAGCAAAAGGTTTTCCTCTATCCTGACCGTGTTTTCTGTGCCCATTTAATATGCATGTTGTGACTTTAAGAGGAAGAAGGTCGAGATCAGAATGTAAAGCAGTAACATGCAGCACTTTGAAGATTTAATTTTGCAAATGACTGTCATTTTAACATCTGTGTTGCAGTGAAAGACCTAGTGTAGAGTCCAATGATAAACATAAGAGGATAGTTGCTTCAGGAATAGTTCAAATATAATGTTTTATTGTATGTCATTTCAAATCTATTGAGGAATGCTGTGATAGATTCTTTGATAATCTATCTTTTCCTGACAATTTCTTTTCCTTTATTTCATTGTGCCTACCAAGCTTTATCCTCCCAGCCACTAAAAGCAGATGTATGCATCTAGGGCAGGGAAAGTCTATAAAAGATACCAAATAGTACTCACAGAATTAGCATGCATGGCATTTGAAATATAAATATGGTAATATTGCTTTCAATCAGTCCTTTGCTATTGAGATATTGCATGAAGATGAAATTATAGTCCAGCTCCAATCATGTTTAGCTCTGCTTTCTTTGCCTCGGCCAGCTTGCAAATAGTTGGAATGAGCTAGAAGCTTGAATTTCAACATTCTCTAAAATTTTATAGACTAGCTTATTCACAAACAAATCTCCCCCAATGATTTACAAGACAAACTCTCACCTTTTCTAATGACAAAATACTAAAGGGTAATTAACAATTGCCCTATTGTGTAATCCATGTTAAAACGCTGAAAGTATTTGCTTCTTTAGGATCTAAGTAGTGTTTACTCAGTGGTTCTGCCAGCAGCCAGCAGAACACTACATACAGTGTTGTGCCTGAACGCGTTCATTGAACGAAAGTTCATGAACTCGTTCATATTTTGGGCGAACGTGAACTGAACGTACTGCATTATTGCCTGATGAACGTTATTGTGAACTCGTTCATTCTGGTGTCTGTGAACGGCACGCTCTCACAGTTCAACTCCGTTCAATAGGTTGCCAGATTTCTATAAAGCCCTCCAGGCGAAACCCCGGCTAAATCACACCGTAAACAGGCCTTAATATGTAGCGGGAAAAACACCCAATCTGGCAACACCAGCTACCAGCGTCGTAGCCTACAGCCGCGTGCGTCATCAAAACAAAATGCAGCGTGGAAGCAACAGCAGCATGGAGGCGACTTAAAACAGATTTATGACCAGGTGGTCGGTGAGGATGATGGCAACAAGTTTGCCCGCCGGCTTTCAGTAAAAAAATCCGCACTTCAGTAACCTTAAATTCCTACCTCAGCCTGGTCCCTCAGTTTGTGTTAGTAAAATCTTCTTGAGCGGAGGTCTTCAACAGGGGATCCGCGACCCCTAGAGGGTCTACGGAGGTACTGCATGAGGGTCTGCATGGTTAGTTGATATTTTTATATTCCCCCCCTGCATTTTTTCCCCCCACTAATTGAAATGTCTTTAAATACTCATTAACATGAAATCAACACACTGTAGTAAACAGATAAATGGAGGCAGAAGATGTCTTTCAGTCATCAATGCTCACATTCAGCGACACACAGGAGCTCTTTCAAGCTGGGCACCGTTTCCTTCACAACAACCAGGAATCAGAATCAGAAAAACTTTAATAATCCCAGGGAGAAATTAATTTCTTTACATTACTCCATCTGTAATAGAGTGACTATAGGACACAATTTCATACAATATATAGAGTTAGGGGGTCCCCGCTCCATCTCACCATCAGTTTGGGGGTCCTTGGTCTGGAAAACATAGAAGACCCCTGTTCTTGAGGGTTTTACTATCCATGTAACTTGTTTATTAAACCTGCCTGGTATAATTTTCCAGGATTCCTTTTTAGTATGTATTGAAATGGAATTTCAAATGGAAAAAATTATTAAAATAAAAAAAAACATTTGCACCTTAAAGACTACTTTCCTATTTTTCTTTTAATAATTACTCATAAAAAAGACCATTCAAGCAGCACATTTTTCCTGATGTTTTTGAGAATATACTGTAGGGGTGAAAGCTGCAGCTGCTACTAGTGTGAAGTGAATGGACAGCAACAAAGCGTTAAAGCAACAATGGGGAAATGCTGTCCCCTCAATGCTAATGTAAACCCTGGTTGGATAAGGATTCAAAACTGGATATGAAGATGAAATCTGACGCACAGTTTCAGAGTTACAACTGATAAAATAATTGCTGTCTGTGGTTCTACAGTAGGCTATGATGTAATTGAGCAATATATGAAAAAAAAAAAAGAACTATGAACTAGTTAATTTTTTGGTTTTGAATTATGAACTATGAACTGAACTAGTTCATTTTAAAATGTGTGAACTGAACTTTGAACTAGTTCACGTAGAAAGAGAACTTTCCCAACACTGACTACATAAACTAGGAATCTCACTTGGAAGTTTGGAGCAATGTATTAGAGTGCAAATAAGGATTAACACTAAGCCAGTCTCTCTGTCGCCTAGAGTTATTCATACTGAATCATCCTAATCAGCTTTGCAATAGTTCTGTGCAAATGATGACCAGAAACAGTAGTTGCCAGCACTTATTTTCTATATTATAATCTACTCTATTTAGGAGTTGTCTCAGCATGATCAACTTTTTGATTATTATTTTTTTATTTTCATCATTAAAATCCATCAAACAACTTAGATAAAAACGCAGTCGAATTTGACCTACTGTTCATTTACTAAAGCCATTATTTTAAATGAAAGCACCTTAATCTGGAAAAGTTAATTTGTTTTTTTAAGGGTTTCCGTGGGGATCCCGCCAACACTCAGGTGCTAACAAAGGACGGAGATGGACTTTGTCGACTCTCCCAGGCTGCTCTCTGTTTGTTTGATGAGGTAAAACACAGCATAGTCGCCTGTATTTTTGTATAATCACAAGGTCAAGACATTTCCTTTAAATATATCAAATCATTTTTGCTCATTCCACTTTCACAGATATGTAACCTGGCATCGAGCTGCCTGTGCTCCTGCAGCATGGACGTGGCCGCCCCTGGTACTGAGAGCGATGCAGTGATGGTTTACGTCTGGGGAAGCAACAGCAGCCATCAGCTGGCAGAGGGAACGCTGGAGAAAATCCTCCTGCCAAAACTGACGCAGGGTTTTAGTGATGCTCAGATGGTAGGTTTGACCAAATGTTTGGCTATCAGTGGCATTATTACTGTTACTTTATAGCTCGCATTTATATTTACATCAGATATATAAGCGCTCTACCATCCCTTCTCGTATAAGAAGGATGTCACAAGACTAGAAAAGTTGTTGTTTTTTTGTCCTGAACTGAAGCAGTACCATTCACCCAAAGGTTATTAATGGCAACCACAAGGAGGAGGGTGAAAAAGAGCCCAGTTTAACCATGGCAAAAAGGGATGGGTTTGTGAGTGAGGTGGAGATTGAGATAAATTTGTCTTGTAGCTATAATCATGGGGTTACAAATAAAAGGATAACAGATGCTGATGCATGGACTGATAATATTAAACACAAAGACATCCAAGGCAGCAGACAGTATTGTGTTCTATGCTTGCAGGGATATATCAGCTTTATGGATATCTTCACAGAATGATTTGGCTCCTAAAAGTTGCTGCAGGCAAAGAGTTAATTAATTGCTTATTATGTGTAACACCTGTGGGGGAATCGGTGCTGCTGAGAGTCGATTGCCAGAAATACCAGAATGTTTAACAGCTCTAATTAATTATTAAAACATAAAAAAATATTTACACTGCAACATTGGATGCTTATAATGACATTAAATATGATTAATGTTTTATATAAAGGGATATTGAACGTCTGAGAGAACTATATCTGGCTCCAATTCTTCTCCTCACCCTCTCCAAAATGGCATGAGTCAGAGTTGGCCTGAGGGACTGCAGGTTCCCAGTCCTCAATAACCATAGACCTGTTGCCGTGACATCCCACATCACCACAATTCTAAAGAGACTTCTATTGGTCCACCTGAGCAAGCAAACAAGCAGCTATCAGGATCCCCTGCAGTTTGCTTTTCATGGAGTTGAAGATGCCACCCTCTTCACCAAACCCTCTGTCATTTAGACAGGAATGAAGCACAGACTACCTGACAAACAGATCACAGTTTGTGAAACTGAAGAGTCAAGTGTCTAAACAAGTAGTTAGCAGCATATGACAGCACTCTCCCTTTCATTCCCTTTACTAGAGTTGGAAGAAATGGTGACTTCCAGTAAAAGTTGGAGTCCTGTAATCCACAGAAATACCCTGATAACTCTGCAACTGTTTGGTGCCTCAAAAATGGACAAGAAGCTGAGTACAGGGAGCTGATGAGCTGCTTTGTGATCATGGTAGGGAAACAATCAGCCGATCATGAATTTTAGCAGAACAAGAAAGATTATTTCACATTTCAGAAGGAACAGGAACAAGACGTGGGAGAAGAAGTGGAGCTGGTTGAAGAGTATAAACACCTGGGCGACAGACTAGATTGGAGACACAACTGTGAAGGTGTCTAACCAAAGGGACAGAGCAGACTGTACTTCCTAAGGAAACTTAGCTCCTTTACTCTTTGCAGTAAGATGCTACATATCTTCTATAGATATGTTGCGGAGAGCATTATTTCTTCCTCCATCATCTGTTAGACGGGCACCTTTACAGCAAACAACCCATAACAAGCTAATAAAGAAAGCAGGCTTTGTTCTTAGAACTCCACTGAAACCTCTAGAGATGAATTCACACAAAAAAAATCATAAAATGAAGGGCATTATGAACAACCCTGAGTATTCCTTTTCCAAAGACTTTTAAAGAATAACAGTCTTCACTCAGAAGCTTCTTCAGATCATCTGCAAGAGAGACAGCTACAGGACATCCTTCATCCCATCCTTCTGTTGTAGAAACGAGGCCTGGACCGCCTCATCTCACTGCTCCATGAATAGCAGAGTTGGGGGGGTTAAATTCCTAAAGAGCGGTCAAAGAAATTCAATACATGTAAAGTGCATCTTCTTTGATCGGAAAAAAAAAACATGCATTTTATTAGAACCACTAATTATTTTAATTAAAAACAGAAAAAACAAAACTCGACTTGTAAGGACAGATTTTATTGATCAATACATTTTATTATTTATTTGTTAATGTAGATATACTGAATAATTGCTGACATGTCTTCTGTATGTTCTTTATTTTTTATTTCCTTGTTTTATAAGTTTAAATAAATAATTGTATTTTTTTTTTTTTTTATAATATGTTTTGCTATTTTAACACTTTGTTGTACAAAACCTCTAATGCCTAATAAGTTAATATTTTTGTAACAATACTTCACATATTTTGTATGTCCTGGTTGCTCAAGTTTTTGATGTCTGAATTAAAGTCTGAGGACCTCCGTTATGCACTCTGGGTTTCTTTCAGATTGAAGCAGGCCAGTACTGCACCTTCTCAGTGTCTGCAGATGGCTCAGTAAAAGCCTGTGGGAAAGGCAGCTATGGTCGCCTCGGTCTGGGTGATTCCAACAATCAGTCTATGCCCAAAAAGCTAGTCCTGGAGCCACACAGGAACATGAAGAAAGTGTCCTCCTCCAAGGGCTCCGATGGACACACCCTGGCCATCACTGTCGAGGGAGAGGTAGAACACTTCCCTTGAATAACCTGCATATTTAATTTGCGAGTTTCTTTTGAATGATAAGCGCTGTTCCACATTTATAAGGGTTTTTACTTAACGATTGTTAGCTCTCCTTTTCATGTGTGGATTTTATTAACTAGATTGGATTTAAGGCTCAATATTGGGGGTGCTCCGGTGCAGCAGTTAGCATGCATGACCCGTATACGGAGGCTTGTGTCCCCACGACACAGGTTCAAATCTGACCTGTGGTCTTTTGTTGCATGTCTTTCCCCCTCTCTCATACCCCCTTTCCTGTCAGCCTACTGTCAAAATAATGAGCCAGTTTTTATTTTTTTTTAAAACCCCACAAAAAACTCATTATTTCTTTCAGGTGTTCAGCTGGGGTGATGGTGAATATGGAAAACTGGGTCATGGCAACAGCGCTACACAGAAACACCCCAAAATCATCCAAGGGCCGCTGTCGGGGAAAGTAAGTCATCAGAGAAGTGTCTCATGTATAAGAAAGCAGGGTGGAGATTTTATATTTAAACTGTTTAAAAAATTTTTTTTTAAAAACCACTCATTTAACAGGTTGTCGTATGCGTGTCTGCGGGCTACAGACACAGCGCTGCCGTTACTAATGATGGGGAGCTTTATACGTGGGGAGAGGGGGACTTTGGCAGACTCGGTAAACTTGCATGTTTTATCTCAAGTTCTAGAGTTTCAAAAGAATTATTTTCTGAGCTAGTTTATTGCATTTAGGTCACAGCGACAGCCAGAGTCGAAACATTCCGACACTGGTGAAGGATATCAGTGGAGTCGGGCAGGTAACCTGTGGCAGCTCCCATACCATTGCTGTTGCACAAGATGGACGCACAGTGTGGTCCTTTGGTGGTGGAGATAATGGTAAGTTGTCACCTTATAAATATTTTAGTTAAAAACATCTTAAAGAACAGTTTTTATATATATGAATAAATAGATAAGAAACGTTGGGTTACTTAATGTAATCCCTGGTTCTTTGATAACAGAGTGAGGTGTTTCACTATGGGAATCGCCTTGGCGTGACCAACTACGGAAGCTCCAATGACATCACGTCTGTCTGAGACAGACAGGTTGAGCCGTGTCCGTGGCTCCACCCACCAGCTAGATCACGGCCAACCTACCCGCCTCAACTCATTCTAGGCAGGTTTCTTTCCATGCCCATGCAAGAAGGGATGTGTTGGTGAAACACCTCACTCTGTTATCAAAGAACCAGGGATTACGTTAAGTAACCCAACGTTCTTTTTCTAACTTCGCTCGGTGTTTCACTATGGGAGATATGGCCCACTCCCGGATTGCATGATGATCCCGAAGCCATATATGATAGGAATCACAACCCAGGTCTCAGTTGGACCCTAACATCCCTACTCCAAGCACTGAGTGTGCTAGCGATGGCCGGGCCACATCCAGCCTGTAAAACCACACAAATGTGTGCGGCGTAGCCCAACTGGCTGCAGCACAGATGTCCTGAACTGACACACCACGGAACAAAGCCCAAGAGGTGGCCATGCTTCTGGTAGAATGGGCCCTCACCCCTTTAGGGGGCTCTGATCCTGCGCACCTATATGCCAGAGATATAGCCTCCACAACCCAGTGTGCTAATCTTTGGCGGGAGACAGGTTTGCCCTTATGAGCAGTAGCCCAGGATACAAACAGAGGGTCAGCTCTTCTAAAACAGGCTGTCCTGTCCACATAAGCTCTTAAAGCTCTCACTGGACATAAGCAATGAAGCTTCTGCTCATCTGCTGAAGAGAAAGGGGGTGGATGGAATGCCAGCAATTCCACCATCGAACACCTATATGCTGAATCCAACACCTTCGGCACAAAAGCCGGGTTGGGTCTCAAGCACACCTTAGAGAGCCCGGGTGCCCACTGTAAACAGGCCGGACTAACGGAAAGTGCATGCAACTCACTCACCCTCTTAGCCGTAGCCAACGCTAAGAGCAGGGCAGTTTTCAATGAAAGGAACTTTAAGCCAACACCCTCCAAAGGTTCAAATGGGTGATGACAGAGGGCATCCAACACCAGAGAGAGATCCCATAATGGCACCAGAGGTTTAGAAACTGGTAACTTACGTCGGGCCCCTCTCATAAAACGACACACTAAGGGGTGCTTCCCCACAGGTTTATCACCAAACCCTACATGACAAGCAGAGATTGCGGCTAAATAAACCTTAATTGTTGAAAAAGCCTTACCCTTCTCCAACAAGCTCTGCAGAAAGCAGAGCACGTCCCCCACTGAACACTGAAAAGGAACGGTCTGTTTTTCCTCACACCATTCCTCAAACACTCGCCATTTACCACTGTAAAGATAGCGAGTAGAAGAAGCCCTAGCATTCTGTATGGTGTCGATCACCTCTGGGGGGAGGCCTGTTGCATTTAAATTCCACCTTTCACGGGCCAGGCCCAGAGAGCCAGGTGATCTGGGTGTGGATGATAAATCTCCCCTTGAGCCTGAGACAGCAGGTCCCTTCGAACGGGGAGGGGCCATGGTTCGGCTGACAGGACTTGGATTATCTCTGCCACCCAGGGCTTCGATGGCCACCAGGGAGCCACCAGAATCAAAGACAGCCCCTGTTCCCTCACTCTGACTAGAGTTGGGGATATCAGGCTGAGAGGAGGGAAAGCATAAAGCAACGCGTCTGGCCATGGGTGCGCCAGCGCGTCCATACCCAGTGGAGCGTCTGGGTCTGACAGGGAGAAAAACAGCGGGCAATGAGTGTTTTCCCATGAGGCGAAGAGATCTACGGCAGCCCGTCCGTATCTCTGCCAGATCTGCTCCACCACCTGTGGATGCAGCTTCCATTCCCCATAGAGAGGGTTCCCTCTGGATAAAAGATCGGCCCCTCTGTTCAGAATTCCCGCTACGTGCGTTGCTCTGAGCGACAGAACTCTGGTGCTGCTCCACATAATTATGTCCCTGGCCAGTCTGTGTAACTGCAGGGACCTGGTGCCGCCCTGACGGTTGATATAAGCCACCACAGTGGAGTTGTCGGTCTTTACCAAGACGTGGCGACCCATCACATATGGCATGAAGTGCTTCAGAGCTAGGAACACTGCGTGCAGTTCCAGCATGTTGATGTGAAGCCGCCTCATTCTCGGCGACCATATGCCATTCACCGCTCTGCCCATCATAGTTGCGCCCCAACCTGTCAGGGAAGCATCGGTTGTCATGGTAACCCTGTATGCTACGGTCCCCAGCGGGACGCCCGACGTGAGAACCGTCGGGTCTCTCCAGGGCTGAAGAGCCGCCACGCATGTCTGTGTCACTTTTACTCTGCGGCACAGATGACGGCGGGGACAGAGTCGCAGCGAGGCGACCCACCGCTGAAAGTCCCTCATCATCAGAAGCCCCAGATGGACCACTGAAATCACGGATGCCATAAGACCGAGGAGCCGCAGGCACAGTCTGAATGTAACGACGTTTCCCAACTGAAAACGCGTCATGCACTGGGTGAATGACAGGATTCTCCCCTCTGATAGTGTGACACGATAAGAGAGGGAGTTTATTTTGAGACCCAAATACTCCGTGCATTGCACGGGAGTCAGGCGACTTTTGGCTTGATTTATCCTGAACCCGAGGTTGATGAGGTGGTTGATCACTGCCAGGGAGTCGCTGACTGCCTGCTCGCTTGGCCGAGAGCAGATTAGATAATCGTCTATGTACGAAAATATTCTGATCCCGCGCGTCCTCAGAGGGGACAGCGCCGCTTCCACACACTTGCTGAACACCCTCGGGGCTAATGACAGCCCGAACGGGATGGTCTGAAACTCGTAGGCTGCGCTCTGATAAGCGAACCTGAGAAACTTTCTGTGTGGGGGGTAAATGGAGATGTGAAAATAGGCGTCCGCGAGGTCGATGGTTACAAACCAATCCCCCGGACGGATGGAACGGCACAGTGCTTTGTGTGTGAGCATCCTGAATGTATATCTGCGTAAGTGTCTGTTTAACACACGCAGATCCAGAATGGGGCGTAGTGATACGCCGTCTTTCTTTGGAATGAGAAAATAGCGCGAGTAGAAGCCCTGACGAACCTCCTCGTCCGGTACAACTCTGATCGCTTTTTTCTCTAACAGGGATGCTATTTCGTCTTTCAGGACGTGAGCTCAATCCCCGGTGGCAACCGAGGAGAGCACTCCGTTGAATCTCGGAGGTCTCGTGGCAAACTGCAGTCTGTAACCCTTGGAGATTGTATGCAAAACCCATGGAGAGACAGCGCATGCGCGCCACTGATCTGCCCGAGCAGAGAGAGGAGAAGCGTCGCTGCTGAGTGACGTCATCCCCTCTGCACTGCTGCGCTCGGCTCTGTTGTAAAGAGCGCGAGGTCCCTCTGCTGGGCGCAGAGGGGAGTGGCAGAGAGCCATTTGTGTTAATTTTTTTCTTTTTTGTGGGGGGCTTTCTGCCCTTGGCAACATGCCTGGCTGCAGAAAAGCTGTATTTATTTTCTCTAATTCCCCCTGAACAACACTTTGTAACATGGGGCACAGCTGAGTGCTTGGTGACACTGATAACGTGCTGTGGAGTGTTTTGTGACACTATGTCCTCCACCCCAAAATGTCTTCTCTCTGAACGTGAGAGGGAGAATTTAACATGCCTCCTGGTGAACTGGGAACTACAGGAGCATCTGAATCCTGGACAGAGAAGTTTGCCCTGGTGCCTGGAAACCTTCTCTTCAGAGGGGAGATGGTTAAAAGTGGGGTTAGGTTGCCCGCTTTTTCTTGCTCTCCCCAGGGTGGGATGGACGATTTTTTGCAGCGGCCGCTGCAAAAGAGTGCTTCCCCCATGGTCTTGGGTTCTCCGCTTTGCTTTGCTGGGTGGATTGTGTGGCAGGTCTCCTTGAAGGCTTGGCTCCACCTTGCCGTACTCTCACTGCAGCAGCCGCAAACCCAGGTCTGGGTCCCTGTGGGGGGGTTTGGCTGGGCTTACGAGGCAAACAAAGGTTAAAAGCCTCTCCCTCCTGTTTTCTGAGGTTACTCGTCTCCCTCATCTTCTCCAAGGAGGGGCCAAATAGACCTTTTGTCGGGTCATAGGGCGCATCCATGATCTCGGCCTTCTGGGAATCACTCAGGCCTGACAGGTTTAACCATAGGCCTCTTTCCCCTGAGACAGCCAGACCCATGACCCGACCACAACCTTGAACAGCACCTCTAGAGGAGCGCAAGATGAGATCGTTCACCACACAGATCTCATCCCATAGACTGGGGTTAGGTGTCCCCGAGTCCAGTTGACGCCCCATCTCCTCCAAGATTTCACCTTGGTACGCAGACAGCAGTGTAACCGCGTTAAGTGAGCACACTGACTGACCCGCATATCTGTACATCCTTTGGTAAATGGAGGCTGTGAGGCGGTCCATTTTACCTGGGAGCGAGATGTTTGAGGATGCTGAAACCGATCTGCGGTTAGGGTGGAGGTGGTAAGCCACTGAAGGCTCTACAGCTGGGGGTTCGGCCAGCCCCAGCTCACCCATGCCCTGTATCTCCAGCTTAGAGAAGCCCTTGGTGGGAAGCTTACTCTTAAATGGGCTGGACCAGAAATGGCTCATTTCTCTCATGCAAGCGGGAACGGCTGGTAAAAGTTGCTTTGCTGGTGGTAAAGCTGGTGGAAGCCTTTTACCGTCGTACAGGTCCCGTTCTGCTCCTTCTGAATCCTGCGCTGCAGGCCAGGGGATGTTCAGCTTTAAAGCCGCCCGTCTGCACACATCATACAGATCACTATCCCCCGGGGAGCTGACTTCTGCCCCGCTTGGAGGCCTGGAGTGATGACCCGGGAAGGTCGAGTCCTCCTCCTCCTCCTCCATGTCCTCCAGTTCCAGGAGGTCGGAGTTAGCGTCACCCTCCGTTTCGTCGATGTCTGCCTCGAGTTTCCCACTGTCCATAAGGCCCTCAAACAGAGGAGGCATGGACGGGTACTCCTCTTCCATCACGTCCGCCCAGCTCTTAGAGGCTAGCGGCGGATGGTTTTCACCCGCCGCCGCAACGGCTGCAGGTGAGGAGAAGCAAGGGTCCTGGCTGTTAGCGACAGCCACCCTAAGCCGCCTCTCCAGGATCCTTTCCGGCATCGACGCGCAGTGCTGGCATCCCTGAGGGTCCGCCAGCGATGCCTGAGCGTGCTTAGCGCCCATACATGCTATACACATCGGATGGGGTGATGGTGAAAAAATTCCATGGTGGAAAGTTTTGAGGAGCTATGAAAACGTAAAGTATGACTCATCTTTGCAGGTAAACTAGGTCATGGAGACACAAATCGTGTGTATCGCCCAAAGGTTATTGAGGGCCTTCATGGATTTATCATCAGGAAGGTGTGTGCAGGCAGCCAGTCATCTCTGGCCCTCACTTCTGCTGGACAAGTAAGATTCCACAGCTTCCATCGGTCTATTGACAGGATCAGGAGGTTTAGTAATCTGCAGTGTTAAGACTGTTTCATTAAAATCTATTGTAAAACATGAGTGATTGAGATGTAATAACATTTCTTTAATGCAATCCTTTAAGGTATTTTTTTTTATGGACCCTGTTCATCTCATGTCACGATTAATCAAGTCTGCTGTTAGCTCACTTACATCCCTTGTTTATTCATGGCATCACAGCTTTTTTCTAAATTTCTACATTTAAATATTTTTAAAACAATGAAACAAGCAGGCATTTTCCTTAATTATCCCGAGCTTTTGTCCAACCAAATAATCTATAAATTACACCAATTTCCCTTTTACCTTAGCATCTACTTTCCCCACATCTGTTAGAAGAAGAATGTGAACTTATTTTGGATCCAATTTCAAATTGTAATATAATAAGCAAAGATCACCTCCTGAAAAATAAGTTTAAGCACTGTTGTCTACAAATATCCTTTTTTCCATGATAAAAATAAAAGTATGTATTATTGTTAACTTCTCCTTTAGGTGTTTGCTTGGGGCTGTGGCTCATGTTTAGGATGTGGCTCTTCTGAAACCACCTCATTAAGGCCCAGGTTCATAGAAGACCTGAGCATCACCAAGATTATTGACATCTCGTGTGGGGACAGTCACTGTCTGGCTTTGTCTCATGGTGAGACATCTTTACCAGTTATCTCCTTCCTGCTAAAAGATTTTTGGATAATAAAGAAACATGTTTTCCTTTTCTCAGAGAATGAAGTGTACGCCTGGGGAAACAACACGATGGGCCAGTGTGGGCAAGGCCACACTTCTACACCCATAACCAAACCCAGAAAGGTGCTCGGCTTAGAGGGGATTTCGATTCAGCAAATAACCGCTGGGACGTCTCACAGTCTTGCATGGACTGCAGTTCCAACCGATAGGTAAACGCTCATTTTAAGGATCTGCCTCTATTTTCTGAAATACTTACTTCATTTTGTGGAATGTGGGCTCTATGGATTCTTCTCGTATGTATGCATCTTTCCCAGGGTTTTCTTAATCATTTTATTTCTTTTTCCAGGCAACTAGTGGCATGGCACAGACCCTTTTGTGTCGACCTGGAAGAGAGCACTTTCACCTACTTACGCAACTTCCTAGAAACGTATTGTGATGGCATCGGTAACGAAACACCCCCTGCTCCGTTTTTATCTAAGAGGTATGAAATGAACATGTTGGTTCTAAGCTTCTAATCCAGGATTGTTATGCAGTCTAGAAAAGCATGCAAATGTTCCATGTATCATTTTATATTTTCCAAGTCTGCCTAAGTTTTTAAATTTAATATATATATATATATATATATATATATATATATATATATATATATATATATATATATATATATATATGTATAGAAAAAAAGATGAGTTTCAACTCTGTATTGCTGATTTGTGTGGACAAAGAACAGCGTTTTAAAAAAATAAAGACTTTAAGACTTCTACCAATAAATGCTCTTTTTCCTAAATTTGTTAAATAACTACTCTGGTCTTATTCAATTGACCAGATAATTGTTAACAATAGAAGCTGTAAATAAATATACACTTATTTTGTTAAGACCTGTAGACCCTTTTTTTTTTTTTTTTTTACAAACAAAACATTTTCACATCTCACAACTGTGCTTTAAAATTTCAGTTAAATTATCCAGGGTTGTCCCGATCTGATATTAATATCAAATATCAGCCAAAAACTAATATCGGATTATGTCGTCCGGCATTTAAAATCTTTAATTATTGGCAATCTACTAAAAACTCTCCCTCTGTTTAAGGTTTCTTTAACCCATTGGTTAATAGAGCATGGGTCATCTGTTCTCACCAGTGTTGTTTTTTTTACAGCCATCTGAGAAACAGTCTTAGTCTTCAGGACGAAAACTAACATTAGTCACATTTTAGTCATTATGATATGTGATAGTTTTACTCTGTTTTACTCGATTGAAACTTAAAAAGGTTTTAGTCTAGTTTAATGTTGCAAAATAAGTTAGCCTTTACAATTTCGGACAAACAACCAGATTCTTTAACAGACTGACAGCTCTTGCCTAGATACTACAATTGCTGGATGTAGAATGCTGCTGGCAGTTCATCATTGCTGTTGGGCAAAAAACTTTGATTTATAGGATTAAAATAAACTTTTTTATGAATTAATGCCTTACTTTATACAAAAGCTGTGAAAATAGCAGATCTAGCTCAACACATCATGTTGGTTAATATAGCAGACAAGCTAACAAAATGTACAATAAAGGAATAGTTTTAGACATACGTTTCCTGTCAAAAGCAAACACTTACTGATCTACTATGAATTATGCATTACACACAGATAAAAAAAAAAATCATCATTGCTCCAAAATAGCAAAGAACAAAAAGATTCTTTTTTCTACTTTGGCAATTTTGGCTTTATTTCTTCAATTTACCCCTCGGTTACTGCTGCTCAGGGTTCAAAGCAGATTTAAAGTCACTGGGTTTTGATATAAAAAAATACAGAGAGAACCTATATGACTACCCTGTAATGCCATGACAATCCAGACTTAAATTGAATGAATAAGCTAAATAAAATGTAGAAATATTTAAAGGAAGCATTTACATAATATTTACCGGTAAAAATATAAAAACGAGAACAATGAGAGAGAAATATTCAAAGATCTATGTGCCTTTTCATCTGGCTCTTTATCCAAAAATAATCAAAATGCATTGACATTTTTTCTTTGGATACGATTTAGGGATTCCTTTTGGAAGAAATTAAAGAATTTAAAGAAGAACCTCTTGTGAGCTGGAAGAAGTAAAATCTTGATAGACAAAGGGAGTTTTTTTACACTGTGTCTCACACCTATTGTTGTTAACTTTTCTTCCCTTTTAGACATACCTTTTCTAATACTATACATTAAAAAATAAGTAATAAAAGCATGTGTGGTTTGTGCTAATAGTGTATTGGGTCAATATCCGTATCGATCAATTCTCAAAGCTGCAATATCAGACTCATATCAGAAATGAAAACGAAAGTTACTACCGTAACTACGGTTCTATGAATCCCGGATGACCGCCAGAGGCGGTGCTTCAAGCACTGAATGATCATTCATGCGCATGCGCAGGTCGAGTATTAATGACAACAAAGTCAGCTGTGACCTGCCGGTGCCACGTGACTATATAGAGTCACGTGGCACCCGGCAATCAATCCTTCAATCTTCTCGTGAAAGCAGAGATTCCGAGGGACCAAGCACTCTGGCGGTCATCCGGGATTCATAGAACCGTAGTTACGGTAGTAACTTTCGTTCTATTTCATCCCTACTGACCGCCAGAGGCGGTGCTTCAAGCACTGGATGACTCATATCAACAAGGTCACGAGGAATCAGCAACATTCAAGGAACAACGACTACACCACCCACCTAATGTGATGTAGAGGCATGCTGCTCGAGGATTCCCTGAAGCAGATGGGGCGCAGCCACATTCACCCTGTAGAACCGAGTAAAGGTACTAGGTGATTTCCAGGAGGCCGCACGGCATATAACATCCAATGGCACCCCAGTCATAGCAGCAAACGATGTCGACATGCCCCTTGTAGAGTGGCATTTCACTCCCGCCGGCAGTGGCCGGTCCTGCAAGGCATAAGCCTTGGAGATCAAATCCACAACCCAGTGTGCAAGTCGCTGCTTAGAAAGTGCCTGACCCTTCCGTGAGCCAGCGTAGCAAACAAAAAGGCTATTTGTCTTTCGGAAGGATGCCGTGGCATTGATGTATGTCTCAAGGGCACGAACAGGACACAGTGGTTCAGAGGGACTTCCGGAGTCAAACCGGGCAAGATGGAGAGGCTGGGTGCTGCCTGCTGGCAGTGATACCTTAGGAATAAACGCTACGTCAGCCCACAGTGTAACGCCTGAGCCATCAGGATTCCACCGGCAGCAGGGTTCGGCTATCGAGAGAGCCTGTAACTCCCCTACACGTTTTGCGGAAACCATAGCTAAAAGGAACGCAGTCTTCAGTGAGAGCCATTTGAGGTCCGCCGACGCCAGGGGCTCAAATGGGAGGGACCGAAGAGCCTCAAGCACAAGAGAAAGGTCCCACGCCGGTGCCACAGGGTGGTTGGGTGGGTGCAAACGCCGAGCACCTCTTAAAAACAGTACAACATCCTTGTCTCGGCCCACAGAACAACCATTCAGCCCAACATGCCAACAGGAAATGGCAGCCACATACACCTTTAAGGTAGATGGAGACCGTCCTTGATCCAGCAATGCCTGCAGGAAGGTCAGTATGTCAGAAACTGAACACTGAACCGGGTCCTGCCCTCTATCACGGCACCAGGTGGCAAAGACCGTCCACTTGTTAGCATAGACAGCTCGCGTGGACGGCGCCCATGCATTAGCCATTGTATGCCCTATGGACCCAGTGTATCTTGAGAAGGTGGACCCCGGCCTTGCAGGGGCCAAATCCAGAGCTGGAGCCGGTCCGGTTCGGGGTGCAAGATCTGACCCCCCATCTGGGAAAGAAGATCTCTCCTGGAGGGGAGACGCATTGGCGAGCCGGAGCTGAGCTCGCACAGTAGAGGAAACCAAGTCCTCGCTGGCCAGTAGGGGGCCACCAGCAGGACCCTGTGCCCCTCCTGACGTACCCTGAGGAGAGTCTGAAAAAGTAGGCTGAATGGCGGAAAGGCATAAAGGAGGGTCCGGGGCCAGTCGTGTGCCAGAGCATCGTGGCCCAGAGGGCTGCTGTTGTCCAACGAGAACCAAAGGGGACAATGAAATGCGTCCCTTGAGGCAAAGAGGTCCACGTCCGCCCTGCCAAAGACCTTCCAGATGCACTCCACCACCTCTTGGTGAAGCTTCCACTCCCCTGGAAGCGGCTTCTGACGGGATAGAAAATCTGCTGGCACGTTCTCCGGCCCTGGGATGTAGGCTGCTCTGAGGCTGGCTATGCGTGGAGCTGCCCAGGTCAGAAGCCGTCGAGTCAAGCACAACAGTTTCCTTGACCTCGTTCCCCCCTGGTGGTTGATGTGAAAGACCACTGTGGTGTTGTCTGACCTCACCAGCACGTGCTTCCCCCGCAAGCCTGGAAGAAAGCTCTGAAGAGCCAGAAGTACAGCCTGTAACTCCAGGACATTGATGTGTTCCCTGCCCTGCCGCTGGGACCATGTCCCCTGTGCCATTTGACCCCGCCAGGTTGCACCCCAGCCCGTGGAGGATGCATCTGTAAACACAACTTCCCGACGACACGGGAGGGAACCGAGCGGGACCCCTGTGGTCATAAACAACCTCACCCTCCATTGGGACAGAGACTGAAGACACTGAGGCCCCACCCGAAGTCTTTGGAGACGATGAGTGTTCCGTGTGGGATCCAGATTCAAGCTGTTCAACCACATCTGGAGGGGCCGCAATGACAGCAGCCCCAAGGGCACTACGGCGGACGCAGCTGTAAGCATGCCCAAGAGTCGAAGATACCGCACAAGAGGCAGCGCCATGCCGCGCCTGAATTCCGGGAGCACGCTCAATATACTGTCCACCCGCTGGGGTGACGGGCAAGCAGTCATTGAGATGGAATCCATGGCAATGCCCAGGAAAACAGTCTCCTGTGAGGGAGTCAGACTGCTTTTCTCCATGTTCACCTGCAAGCCCAAGCATCCCACATGATGGAGCACTAACCGAGTATCTCGAACCGCCTGGTCCCACGTCGCGGCACAAATGAGCCAGTCGTCCAGATATGGGAGGATCCTCAATCCCTGTGCCTGCAGAGGAGAGAGAGCCGCTGCAACACATCGGGTGAACACCCTGGGGGACAGTGAAAGTCCGAACGGGAGGACCCTGAACTGGAAATGTCTCCCTTGAAAAGCAAAACGAAGAAACCGCCAATGGGGCGGAGCGATCGGAAAGTGAAAATAAGCATCCCTGAGATCTATGGAAGTGAACCAATCGCCCGGGGAAATCGCCTGCAACACTTCCCTGGTGGTCAGCATATGAAAGGGCATGGCCTTCAAGTACACATTCAGGCCCCTGAGGTCCAAGACTGGACGCAGGCCCCCGGTCTTCTTCGGAACCAGAAAATACGTGGAATAAAAGCCCCCTGGATCCAGCAGGGGGTCCACAGGCACTATAGCACCCTTGGCCAGCAAGGTGCAGATTTCTTGGTTCAGTGCCTGTGCCTTCACCGGGTCGTGGATCACAGTCATCCTGACCCGGCCAGGGATAGGTGGCCGGCGGCGGAATTGAAGACGGTACCCCCGGGACAGGGTGGACAACACCCACAAGTCCGGGGTGTGGGCAGCCCAGAAGCTGAGCTGTTCCGGGGAAAAATAACCGACCGCCGGCCCTAAGGCATCATCTGCGGGTCCCCCGGCCCTTCGAAGGCCCGGGAGGGCGCCGGCCAGACTGCGCGGCCGGAAAGGGATGAAAGGACCTTGTTCCAGCCTGGTCTCGAGCTCTGTTCCTCCGATCTAGAGCAGGTCTCTGGACCGATCTCTGACCTGGTAACAGACCCTGGGGCTCAGTGGGAGAAGGAGAAGGCACTAAGGACCTCCGTGAAGGACCCGCAGCTGCCCAGGTGCTTACTGGCTGGCGATCACGTCTGTGAAGCCCTGCCAGCTGTTGCCTCGTTCTAGAGGCCTGAGCCGTACGGTCCAATGCGTCCAGTGCCGCAGAACCAAAAAGCTCCCCCGGGACCACAGGCAGGGCCCGGAGGGTCCTCTTACAAGGCTCAGTTAGTGGTGACTGCGCCAACCAGACCTGGCGGCGAGCATGAACCAGTGTGGAGAGTGTGCGTCCAAGTTCCCTCGTCATAAGAGCAAAGGCCTGCAGAGATGCATCAACCAGGCCTTGCGTGGCATGATCCAGCGGAACCGATACCTAGGAGGAAGACAGGGCCAGCATAAGATGGGAGAGAGAGTTCCCAATCCGGCCCATGCGGGCCCCAGAGTCATAGGCTTTGCAGAGAAGGTCGTCGGTAATACGGCACTGAGGACGCGGACAACGGGCATTGGGCCGCAAGGCCTCATCAGGCGGGATTATAAGAGAGGCAATGCCCGGTTCCACCGCTGGCATCTGCCCCAAGCCAACCTTGGGTGCCTCCTGCATAGCTGCCAGGACCCTGCCATCCGTCGTCAGACGTGAAAACGCCTTGGTGTCTGACCAGCAAGCATGCAGTTCCCGCACATACTCCGCCGAGGGAGGAACCACAAAGGCAGTCTCTGACCTACTGCGCCTAAAGAAGGCGCTGGAGGCCGCAGGCTGGGCCTGAGGAACACTAATTTGTAAACGGGCAAGAGCCGTTCGAATAGCGGATGTCACAGACTCCCCGTATCCTCCTGAGAGGCAATGGAGTCCGACCCAGAGGCCCCGGAGCCCAGCTCCGGAAGGTCCTCACAGAAATGGGTGCCAGAGGCCGCCACGGAAACAGCATCGTCGTCATTGACTGACGTTTCATCCTGCTCGGTAGGGAGAGCCGTGCCACGATCACCAGCAGTCTGAAAGGACTGGAGGAGGGCTTTCATTTGGGCCAGCTCAGCAGTGAGATGATCCACTTTCGTGGACAACCTCCCTGCATCGGTCCGTCTAGCACGCTTTGTCGGTACCGAAGGTGCAGCCCCAGTAGAACGTTTGCACACCGCTTTCTCCATCGGCAAACGAGCACGCGGCGAAGCGCCCGCCCAGTCGGTAGGCTGCTCCAGTGCAGCCAACCGATCCAGTCTGACCGACCGGGGCATGACGCGACAGTTGGGGCAAGCCAGGGGCGTTGCTAGGCACAAAGCTTTACTGGGGCACTGGCCCCCTACTGCATATGCCCCTCCTTCATACACAAATACAGACAAGCACACTGCCCCACCCTGATAAATTCCTACCAAAATTACCAGTTGAGATAATAATGAGTGTAAGAGCATATTTATTTTAACAAACATAAACAATTTCAACATTGCAGCTATAAAAAATAAGACATCACCAACTAAAAATAAAAAGTTTCCTTATACACAATCTGAAGTAATCATTAATTCCTAGGTTTCAGAGTTTTAGTTCAGGGGAAATGTTAACTCAACCTGAACTAAGTTTTTCTTTATTTTTTGAGCATTAAAGTGTACCTCCTATTTTTCATTTTTGCAAAGCAGTCAATCACTAGACTTTGACTCAGCTTAGAAAGTTCTTCCTTTTCAACTGATAAAATAGCAAGATGTTGGAGCCTGTCTTGTCCCATTGTGCACCTCAGCCAAGTGTGGAGCCTTCTCAACACACTGAATGACCTTTCACAACTACAGCTGTTGACTGGGATTGTGAGGAGATCTGGGTGACCTGCGTTAGTGTGGGGAACATGGTGTTATCAAGCAAGTTGAAAACACACTGCATATCCTTGATAACAAGGATTTCTTTTTCAACCATTCAAAGCTTTCAAACCATTTTGAATTAAATGAAAGTTTTTTTAACTCCAAATTTGTCCTGGGGATAGTGGGACAACTTCACTTGTTTAGGACCATCATGTTTCCCCCTAAGTCACTAATATCTCCTTCTTGTTTGTGGACGCTGGTTGTTGCTCCCTCATCACCTTCATGGTCCTGTCTCTCCTGTCTCTCACCTGTCTCACCTGTCTCTCCTGTCCTTCACCTGTCTCTTGCCTGTCATTCTCGCCTCCTCCTCCCTTTTCTACTCCAGCACCTTCATTCTCATTCTCTACAGCAAACATTAAAAAACGTAAATTTAGAATTATGTAAATATCTATCATATTGCTTATAACGTCCCTAATGTAACTGCTTAGCTTAAATCACTAATTCATCACGGGACCTTACCTCCCTCTCTCTCATCTTGTTTTACTGCTTCCCTGTCTCTGCTTCGTGTGAGGAATTTCCTGATGTCAATCTACAAACCAATGCAGTAATTTTCAGTTAGTAGCCTATAAATAAATCATGTGGTTTCACTGGGAAAATAATAAAATTGACGGGTAAGAAACGTTACCAGAACTAAAAATGCGTCGTGACCGCACAATGTCCCATCCAACTCAGCTGAGAGCAGCGCGTTAGTTTACCTGCAGTTCATGCAGTGACATGCGCCGACGTGGGGGCGCTATTACATCCTCAATTTGGAGTTACCAACACACTTGCTGCGCATTTGAGTAGAAATATACGACTCCTCCCGTTGGAATTATCTAAATTGATGCATTAAAAAAATGTATCACTGTTGCAAATATTCATGAGGTTTATACTGGGGCACTGCTCATTTATACTGGGGCACGTGCCCCAGTAAATGGGGTCTGGCGACGCCGATGGGGCAAGCGTCATCTGACAGCGCCTCCCGGAGATGTTCCACACCGAGGCAGGAGGGACACAAGTCATGCCCGTCATCGGGCTGAAGTGGAGCCAGACAGGTCGAGCAACATAAACTATCCAGCATCATACTGCTGAAAGGCGTGATCAGCCCGCTACCAAGGACAAGTCAACACGAGCAGGAAAGCTACTGGCGACTCGATTATTGACTAAAGATGAACTCAGCACGAGCAGAGACGCCACTGGTGAGTTTAGGCAAACAAACCAAAGAAGAACCCAACTCGAGCGGAAACGCTACTGGTGGGCTCAGGCAAATAAACTGAAAACAACTCAGCGCGAGCAGAAACGCCACTGGTGAGTGTAGATAAACAAACTATAGAAGAACCCAACGCGAGCAGAAACGCTACTGGTGGGCTTAGGCAAACAAACTGAAAACAACTCAGCGCGAGCAGAAACGCCACTGGTGAGTGTAGATAAACAAACTATAGAAGAACCCAACGCGAGTAGAAACGCTACTGGTGGGCTTAGGCAAACAAACTGAAAACAACTCAGCGCGAGCAGAAACGCCACTGGTGAGTGTAGATAAACAAACTATAGAAGAACCCAACGCGAGTAGAAACGCTACTGGTGGGCTTAGGCAAACAAACTGAAAACAACTCAGCGCGAGCAGAAACGCTACCGTGAGTCAAAAGAGCCACAAAATTAACGTGGCAAATCAAAGCGAACAGTAAACCACTGCTGAGAAAAGAACGAAAACTTACCAGTCACCGCAGATCTGGTAAGGTGAAAGCAGCTTGTGCAGCCCCTGGAGGGCGAGACTTACCCGCAGCTCCGACCAAACCCGGTCACGGGGCTACCAGCAACAAGCAGCCAGGAAACTAGTGGTATACACAGAAGCAAGCAGCTTCACACGACCACACTCCTGTCCTCAACACACCTGCGCGCGAGAAGAACAAAAGGGATTGATTGCCGGGTGCCACGTGACTATATAGAGTCACGTGGGTCCCCGGCAGGTCACAGCTGACTTTGTTGTCATTAATACTCGACCTGCGCATGCGCATGAATGATCATTCAGTGCTTGAAGCACCGCCTCTGGCGGTCAGTAGGGATGAAATAGAACGCTTTATCCAGACACCCCTAAAATTATCTATTCTGGGTTTGAAAAATCTAAATTGTGGGAATTTCTAAATAAATATGGTTAAACAATTTTTTAATTTCCCTCTGGGATTAAGAAATAATTTGTGAACTTGAATTGAATTGAAGAAAGTTCCTAAATAATGCCTAAAGGAGTGATGTGAAATCTCCCTTGTACCGGTACTTTATTGCTGCCTTAGAATCCAATTTTAGTTTTTCCTGATTTCTCTTGTATAAGCTTTTTTTTCAAATGTAAATTAAAATCATAAAAAAAAATTAAAATGTAAATGTAAATTTTGTAATTTTCATTTTATCCAATGTAAATTCAAATGAAATTGAAAATTCAAATGAAATTTGAATTTTGAACTACACAAAACTTAAAAATAGATATTCCGTTGGAACCCTGAAATTCATAAATTTTTGTCAATAATTACAATTTCTCCCACCCATCACAAAGGAATGTTGATTTCCTGGCTGTATTCCTCTCTCTATCTCTTCCTCAGGGACCACCATCATTTCCTTCTGCTGTGCATGAAGCTGCTGTCCATCCACTTGTCCTTGGCCCATGCAGGCGGCACTGGAGCCATGGTTCTAGGTGCTCAGGGGAGGCCTTTGAGAAATCTATTGTTCAGGCTCATAGACACCAACATACCAGACTCTATACAGCAGGTAAATTAATAGCATTCTTTTTCTAAAATCCTACTAAATAAAAACCAAGGACCTCTGTTGTAATCTTTGATTGCTTATTATTTTTAAAGTGTCATAGATTCACAACCTGCATATCAATGACATATTTGGACGCTTAAACCCCCCTATTCTGATACCTGAAAAAGATAAAAAAAAAAGTTCACTAACTGAGTGAGGACATCTCATACTAGACAAGAATATGATAAAATAGTCTGAAAAGTTCCTTACAGCATATTTACATTTACCGGTACTGTTTTTTGTGTTTCTAATCAACCACTTGCATGTAATAATGACAATAATTGATATTTCATTTTTATATTACTATTATGACTAAATATTAGGTATTTTTTTCGCTGATATTTCTTGTTCTCCACAGGCAGTTTTAAACACACTGTCTATCGGGGCCTCCCTGCTGCTGCCTCCTCTCAGGGAACGAACTGAACTTCTCCTCTCACTCCTTCCCCAAGGCCCCCAAAGTTTAAATGTTCTCTCCAAAGGCCAGGTATGTAGCTTGGATCACTTACCAGCGCTGCTTTTAAGGAATTACACCTCATTTTTTAAGTTATGTTTATCTTATTTAAGGTTTCAAAGAAAACAGTGTTAATTTCCTATGAAGGCCACCGGGTTTTATATGTTAACAAGTTTTAAAAGCCATTTAACTTTTATTTGTTTTTACATTTAAATTATGCGAAGTACCAACAACAATTGGGACACAATCATGAAGTGGAACGAAATTTATTGGACAGTTTAAACTATTTTAACTAGTTAAAAAAAAGTAATGGGTGTGCAAAATTATTCAGCCCTCTTTATAAATACTTTGTAGCACCACCTTTTGCAGCTGCAGGTTGCACAGGGTGTGTTTGTCAGTTTTGCACATTGGAAGAGTGAAATTTTTGCCCTTTCTTCCTGCAAAACAGCAGGAGCTCAGCAAGGTATGATGGAGAGTGTGTTTGAACAGCAGTTTTCCAGTCTTTCCACAAATTGGTTGTATTCAGGTCTGGACTTGGCCTTTCTAAGACCTGGATATGTTTATTTGTGAACATTCAATTGTAGATGTTGCTTTATGTTTTGGATCATAGTCTTGTTGGAAAATAAATCTCTATTCCAGTCTCACGTCTTTTGCAGAATCCAACAGGTTTTCTTACAGAATATTCCTGTTTTTGGCTCCATGCATCCTCCCATCACTTTTAACCATCTCCCCTGTCCCTGCTGAAGAAAAGGCCCAAACTATGATGCAACCATCACCATGTTTGACAGTGGGGATGATGTGTTCTGGGTGATGAGATGAGTTTCTTTTACACCAAGGATATTGTTTTACATTATTGCCAAAAAGTTAGATTTTGTTTTCCTCTGACTAGAGCACCTTCTTCCACATGCGCGTCTTTCCTCCATATAGGCCAGCTTTGTGCAGTATATGACTGATTATTGTCCTATGGACAGTCTCGCACCTCATATGTAGATCTCTGCAGTTTATCCAGATTGTTTGTGGGCCTCTTGGCTGCATCTCTAATCAGTATTTCCTTGTTTTTGTATTCAAAAAACTTAAAATTCTCCACAACAGTATCTTGGACCTGCCTGGTGTCTTCCTTCTTGTTCATGATGTTCTCTGTACTTTAAACAGACCTCTGAGATGATCACAGAGCATTTATATGGAGACTTGTTTCCACACATCAATTTTACACTTTTTTTCCACACATCAGTCATTTATGTCAACACTGGATCATTCAGAGATCCTCACTGACCTTCTGGAGAGAATTTACTAGCCTGACGTAGTCCTACTCAATTCTAGTCAGAATATGAGTCTGATACTGCTCCATAGAGCTGTGATTATGGGGCGTGTTTTGAAAAAAATGCCTCTGCACTCAATTGGATAGACCTACAACCAATAAGAGCAACGGAGTGCGTGACGTATGTTAAGCGATGCATAGTTGTTGTCAACAAAAATCAAAGCGTGCAGTTTCACGCCTAGAATAAGAAGATGAGCCTTGATCTGTTCCTCTTTTAAAATTAATTTGCTGTCGAAATCTTCTAGAACAGACCTAATAGCAGAATCTACTCACCTAAACTCTCCGGCGGCAGCCATTGTTGTTGTCACCCAAGCGCGCTTTGGTCACATGGTTGATTACGTTACTGTTGATCATCTGTCCATCATCGTATAAAGCCCGCCCTGACAATTTGATTGGATCGCCAGTGGGTGGGCGATCATAATCGCGCTACTATGGAGCAATGCCAGACCGAACTTCCCGACCTCAAACCTTGTGGGCGGGACTAAGTTTGGTATGGCACCCAGGCTAAGAATTTGCTGCACTGAATGTAAAGGGGCCCGATTCATTTTACACACCCCATTCTTCAGTTTTTCACTTGTTAAAAAAGTTTAAAATATCCAATAAATTTTGATCCACTTCATGATTGTGTCCCAATTGTTGTTGATCCTTTACAAAAAAATTACAATTTTATATCTTTATGTTTGAAGTCTAAAATGTGGTACTGTAAAAGTTCAAGGGGGCTGAATAATAATTCTAATAATATATGTTGATGTTTGTGTTTTAATGTGATAAATTCTTCACTTTGTTTAGTAATTCTCAGAGAAGTGTCAGAGCTAGATAGATGGCCTGATACAGTGACTCCAACCGCTAATTTAGAGTGTTGCTTGGCTGCATGTGTGAAAGAAAGAATGGTATGAAACCATGCAACTGAAATTTTTACTCCTCTACTCATCTTTCTGTGTCCTTTCAAAGCGCCTGCAGCTAGACATGGTCCTCAGCAGCCTTCAGGATCAAAGCCACATAGCCTCTCTGCTAGGTTATAGCAATTTTGGTGAGGTGACAGGCCTCGGGCCTCCGCTAACCTCCGGGGCATCGGCTCGACCACCCTCCTCCTCCAGCTCAGTAGATGCCTACAACCCGCTGCACTTAGCAGAGATCCTGCTCAGAACACTTCTTCTCAGCATCGGCTTTTATACGGTATGGATAGAAGGACCACATGCTTGCAGAGCTGCAATATAGAGCTGATATTAAAGTAGATTAACATGTGAATTTGCATATACCTGAAAATAAATCTACCCAAATAATCACATTAAACAAGCCCTAAAAGTTAGAATATGTTTCTATTTATTAAGACAGCTTATTTGTAAATAATGTAAAGTAAATAGATTAATGTGACACTGTTGGTCTGCCTATGTGTGTCCATGAAGGAGCAACAGTTTGGAGAACTGGAGAAAAATAGTGATAAACAGCTTTGCAGTGGTGTGGAGGGACAAACTGATCCTCCTTCTCAGTTCCACCAGCTGCTGTCAGGACTTCACAAACACCTGCTGGCTCACTGCTACATTCAATCAAGTCCGGAGGTGAGAAACTGAAGCAAACAGTTAAACCACAAAAAGCAATGTTTGTGTTTGGGATCATTGCCTACATTTACATGGACATAAGTAAGCTGAATAAATAGGTGCCCTGTAAACATGTCAGTTGGGATGTTTTGATCGGATTCTGCAGGATTAGATTGATATTGTAATCCGACTATAGGTGTTTGGTTTTTGCTGATTTTGGTTTTGTCTGATCGGCATGCAGGTAAATGCTTGAAAGGATCAAATGAGGAATGCTGTCTTAAGTGCATGTTGACATCCTGCATCAATGTGATGCAGTTAGAGTTTTTCCATTAAATATTTTTAAATTGATGGGCTCTATTATTCTGATTTTGTCCATGTACTGTATGATGTAACATATTTTCTTTTGTTTTTTCAATCTAATTGTAAAATTTTTATGCATGTAGCTAGTGTTCTTTTGGACACTTTCATCTGGTGTTTGTCTGAGCAAAACTGAAAGAATTTAGAGCAAATTGACTTCCCTTATCATTCCTACCACGTGGTGTTTAAAACTGTTCAAACTGGATGCTACCGCAGGACAATCACACCACAAAAAATGACATAATTCTATTATGAACAAATTAAACTTTCCCAAAGGATTTCACCAAACATTTTTTTCTTGAAAATAAAACATAAATTAAAAACTTTGGAGAAACAAAAGGAGAAAGACACCACTAAAAAAAGAAAAGTCTTTGTTTAAAAGCAGTGGGAAGAATATGTAATACCTACCCTTTGCTGCACAGGATTATTACTCTATATGAAAATATTATTACAAAATGCTACCCATATACCTAAACCCTATTTAATATTTGTGTCAAGACTGAAAACATTTAGACCAACTAAGAATTGTCCACAAATATCCAGCAGGAATTCTAACAAAGGCTTGTAAATAGTTGTCAAAATGCAACGTCCTTACATTACTATCAAATATTAGTAGTCCACAATATTCAAAACAGTCCTTGTTTTTTAAACGTGTTCAAACTTCATCTTTCCTCCCTGAAAAGATGTGGATCAAGTTTGTGTTTAATGGCTGAAATTAATAACATGTTGCCCAAGTTATTTGGATTTAAAATTAGCAGTGCTCAAATACCACAATAAGTATTTAGAAATGCTCCTTTTTAAATGCAAATTCACTTCATATTTATTTTCTTGAGTATTTTAATGCTGTATTTAGTGTAATGATGCCTTTTTCTTCTGCTCCTCTGTAGGATGATGGCAGTGCAACTCTGCTTCGTGAGCACCTTTTCCTGTTGCTTCCCTGCGCTGCCGAGACTTTCAAGAGGTCCACTAAGCTGCTGAAAAAGAGCGCCAATGATAAACAAATAATTAAAAAGCTGCACAGTAAGAAAATTTGTTTTACTCACCTCGGTAATGAAATCCAATTTCTTTACACTGTAGATTCAGTGTTATAATAACTTGAATCTTCTTCCTTTGTCTTCCATTTGGTCCCAGCTGTGTTGTACGACTCTGCTGCGGGGAGCTTGCTGTGCCAGGTGATGTACTCCTTGCTGCTGCTGCCGCTGGACACAGTTCAGCCTCTTCTGAACCACCTGCTGTCATTGTTGGAGCACCTCAATGATCTAAACAGTCTGTTGCCTGAAACGTTCCTGCTGGAGGAGCAAGAGCTGGAAGTAGAGGTTGAGAAAATGTCTTCTGGTCAGTTAAATTAATTCTAATTTTTTTTCGAGTGTATGTTTTTTGAATGTTTCTGTATATATTTAGTTTATTATTAAGAGGTGTTATCTTATAGATAAAAGTGAAGAAAGCCCAAACCTCGGAAAGGAGCATCAGCAGCAGGAGGAGGAATATGGATGGGTTTGGATACTGGACCTGGAGCGGTCTGTTGCGTTGGCAGTTGGACGCTGCCTTGGCGGTTTGCTGCAAGGCCCGCCCCCCTCACTCCACGAGAAGCTGTCAGAGACATGGTTATCGAACATCCTCCTCAGGAACGGTCTGGAGATGGACTTCGAACAGCTTGGTAGGAAGATATAGAGATTATCCTTCAGTTCTTCAAACACGCCACCTGAGATAAACATGTATATGTATATATATATATATATATATATATATATATATATATATATATATATATATATACATGTATGAAAAGCAAAAAAAAAAAAAAAAAAAACATTTAAGCTTTAAAAAATAAAATCAGTTACAGAAATTGATGAGTGCTGGTAATAGTGGTGTTACCTCTGAGAAAAAAGAAATATATATATTTATTATGTACCACTTACATAATCAAATGATATCATTGAATGTTGCAAATGCCCATAAAATGTTATTACCACAGAGAAAGATGGCTGTAAATTAGGGATGCACGATATTGGGATTTTGGCCGATATCCGATATGCCGATATTTTAAAACTCATGTAGCCGATAAACGATACCGATGCCGATGTTAAAGCTGGACAAAAATAAGTAGTCATTGAAAATAGCAGTTTTGTTATCCATTTCTGACACTTTGAAAAATAATATACTCAAATATATTTTCATATGCTGATATCAAATTGATTTTTAAAAACGTGGTATCGATCTATTTTACTTTCAAAATCTCGTGAAATTTCATCGTTCTGTTACAAACTCTCGTGATATTTTGCAAATTCTTGTGAGATTTTGTTAGTAAAATAGATCGATACCGCTTCAATATATCAACATATAAAAATATGGCAAAATTTTGTGAATTTTCGGGGGATTTCGTAGCATAACGATGACATATAGCAATATTTCATTAGTAAAAGAGATTAATATGGTGTTTTTAAATGGCAAAATATCAGCATATGAAGATATTGTGATATTTTAATGTATCAATATTTTTTCCTTCGTCTTTAGAAGTTTTTAAGTCTGTAAAAAAGACGTTTTTAAGGAAGAAGAAGAAGTAGTGTTTTATTTTTATTTATTTTAGACTTTGGAAACTCAGAAGCTGATCAAATACCGGGTTAAATATCGGTGGGGTGGCCGATGTCCGATATTCAGTTTTAAGGCCGATACAGGCCGACACCGATAGGGGGCCGATTATATCGTGCATCCCTACTGTAAATGCTAAAGTGATGTGTTGTTTTCATTTATGGGCTAAGTAATATGGTCTCCTGTAGACTCTACCATGGCTTGGCTGACTGAGGTGGTGCTCCTGGGGAACAGTGATGCCCAACAGACAGAGCTAAGCCTAACTGAGGAAACCAGGACTTTACTGGAGTTGGCTCTGGGCTCCAACAGGGGACTTGCAGGTGTTTTGTGGTGGAAAATGGAAGAGTATGCTCTTACCAAAGGTGACTTTTTTTTTATGGATATAAAGCTAGTAATGCGTTTGTAGGTTTAAGTAATATAACCAGGATTTTAATTGCTTTACTTTGTGACTTTATATCAACTAAAATGTTTTCTATGAAAGCAGAATGGGAGAATGGAGGTTCTTCAGAGGATTACCTGCTGCCAATCGTCTCCCGTTGCAGTCTTGCTGCTCTCCTTAAACACACTGGGCTGCAGAATGAGGCTTGCTGGAATGACAGGCGAGTAAAATAGGTGCACATGTGCACATACATAGAAGTTATTATTAGACAAAATTTTTATGCACTGAATGATATTGATGATGTTCCAATTAGGATTTTTGGTTTCAAGCATTTGCTGAGTCTCAGTCTAAACCATTCATTAGTTTATGTTTGTATTTGTTTATTTTTTCCTCAATCTCTTAATTAAGTCATTTATTTGGGTCAAGCAGTTTAACCGAAACTATATCTATTTGGATAATGTAAAGGTGTTTAAAAGGCATCATTCACTTCTTTAAATGTAGGATTGTAGGTCACTTTGCACCTCAACATCTTTTAGCTCTGAAGGCAAATATTCTAGGGTAGTGGTTTAGTGGCAGTGGGGCTGCACAAGTGTTCTATGGGAGCCACAGAAAATTGGTGCAAATTAGGAACAAAATATTCAATGGAATGGAATCATCTTTTTCTCTCATTATCATAAATTATAATCCTTTTATAGTATCATTATTAGATTTATATCATATTAGCACAACAAACCAAGGGCATTTAAAACAGAGCATTGAGACTTTTCTCCTTTTTTAACTATGTAAGAAAAGACTATTTAACCTTGGCTAATAAGGCTCTGAAATGCCTTTTTCATTTTGCAACGACCTACTTTTGTGATTCAGGCGTTTTTGCTTTAAAATTACCTAAAAGAAAAACCAGAAAAATAAATCTATCTAAACGTAGACATTGCTATGTGTACACCACTGAGGCTATGTTAATTTGAGGCTAATCTTGGAGTTCTATGGTAATCATTGATTTTTTTGGCTCATAAAGGTATAGTGGAAGATTTTTTGCAATTTTTTTGAAAAGATCCACCTCCTCTACTTAAAAAAATGCACACGCACAACCCCGTGGCCACTCCTATGAGGAAACGCCTATTAAATGTGTAAGGAGCATGCACAAACCCATTTCTCCTCATGCACACTTCAAAAGTCATCGCTCATACAATTTTACTTTCCAAAAGACGATTTGCAATTTTTCCACTATGTCAATTTCACCACCGATAAGTGAAAATGGGGATGAGCACGTAGGACGGCCTTATGTAAACATGTCACCAGAATGACTGACAATTACAGTAGGAGGGTCACTTATTTTGATAACTTACGTGGAAAAAGAACATCTTCCACTATACCTTAATTAGTAGGGAATGATTAAAAAAATACATTTTTTTCTGTTTATAAACTAATGGCATTTTTTTAAGAAAGTCAAAAAATTTGAACAGGTGTTTTCAGCTCTTTTGTTTATAGCTTTTTCTCCCCCTACAAGAGCTCTGTGGATATCTGAGTACAGTAGCAGCTCACTCGAATGATTGGTGACAATCTACAGTCAAAGTCAATCTCTTTCACTTTGAACGTCCTTGTAATGTTTGCAAAAGTCACTTGTTTTTATGAAATCACAGCAGGAACACGGTAACTAGAGATGGTGAATGGCCTTTAGTCAGGGACTCTAATCTGCGTCATTTAAAACTGTCTTGTTGAGGACTAAAGCCTGATACTTCGGACTAGATCAGGAGATCATTGTTATTCATGGTTTATAAATGTTGTGTGAAGTATTGTTTACTTCTCTGTTTATGATCTCCTTTTGAAACAGACAAGAACCATCTGGGATGCTATTAGAAGTCTATGAAACAGTTTTTAAACTCAGAAACTCTCTTTTGGCCCTTAAAAATGCTCCAAAAATGTCTCCCAGGCAAGACATGTCCAAACAGGTAACATTACTGAAAATTCACCACCTCACAATATAAACTGGTATCAAATCTTTTAAATCTTTAAAAAAAAAGATTACATGTTTCTTGTTTTGTGCAGAATTCTCCACAAAGTCCTGGTATTAACATTCAAGAGGCCTGCATGTCTATGGAGCAAGCAGGTAAAGAACAAGAGCAGCAGTCAGTAAGTTTCTGTCACAGGGAGGTGCAGGTGCCCCCAACTCCAACAGCAAACCACAACCAAGAAGAAATGACTGAGGACGACAGATTTAACAGCAGCCGTATGTACCTGTCAGGTCAGGACTTATTCATTCTGTGTATTAACAACAGATTGCTTTTCATTTCTACAGTGAAAACCATTCCTGTGTTGATATATTTGATAGTGATCATAACACACCTTAGTCCTGATTATGTTTAACCCATGCAGAAGTCCTGGAATCCTTCATGGCCACCAGGGAAGCCATGCAGGTGCAGCAGAATGTGACGGTCTATGAGTCATTTGGCACCTCCACCCTCCCAGGCAGCATGGACAGCCCCGTCAGCCCAGAGAGACAGCCGGATCTTAAACTACAAGGGGAAACTGCTACTGAATCAGATCAAGGTCTGTCGTTTCCTGCTGCCTGTCAGCTTGTGATATCCCAATGCCTCTTCCTTCTGCTGGGAGTCCGGCCTGCCTGGGTTGAACCCAGTGAAGTGGAAGATAATCAAGCTGTGAACGTCATTACAAGGTACAGTTAAACCCACGTTACTTCTGTTTGGTTCTTTTTAATATATTTCTTCTTATTAATCATCTGATCACCCCTCTCTTTAAGGCGGTTATCATCAGAGGCTTTTACAGTAGCTCTTACCGGAAGAAAACAAGTAAGCTGTCAGGTGCAGAAAAGGTTCAAATTCAGTCTTCTGATCTGTTTGTCTCATTGTTTTTGTTATCTGCTATTCCATCTGATTTAGTTCGACCTATCCAAAAACTCAGCTGGATGTTCGTCGAATAAAATGGGTGAGTGCTGAAAGTTTAAAACTGAACTGCAATGTGAGTCCATATGAACTGAAGCATTTGATGCTTGTTTTAACATAAACGCACAAAAATGTTTAGACATTTTTCACGGGACTTCTTGACACTACTTCCTATAATGTTGGTCAAAAATATTAATTTGCTCATCTGGGAATGGGATTAATGGGGTTTAGTGGTAGTTTTTTGTATTTATTGTCTTATTATTATTTAGGATTTTTTTTTTTATTTTTTTTTTTACCCAGGTTGGGAATTGTGATACATAAAAACCAGTACAGGTCACCAGTTTGGATGTAACTTTTTATTGTTTTGTTATTTTTTTTTATCTACAGAGACCTTAAATTACGTATAGTGAAAAATTAAACTCTGCTTATATCCGATTACATGTCCCTTTGAGAGTTATGATAACAGCTGTACTCTTCCGTTAAGTCCTGGACTAATTTTGGTTGAATCTTCTTATCAGAAATTTTACAGTGAATTTGGTTTCCTGCCCTGGAGCCGAATCCTAATGGTTTTCCATACATTTCCCTTAAGATTTTTGATTGTTGTATTTGTTCCGGATCGCTGTCTTGTTGGAGACCTTTATCGTGTCTCTTTTCTTACCCTCTGACGTAAGCTGAAGAAAGTAATTATTTTAGGATACTCAAGAAACAACTAAGGAACATCCATTCATAACAAAATGATGAGCTTGTTTTTTGTTTGCCAGTGTTATTGCTGTTTTGCACAAACTGACTGGAGAATTGAATTCTAAGGACTACCTGAAAAATAAAGAAATGTATGCAAATAAACGACTAGCTGTTCAAAACTTGCACAATAGTTTAGGCTTTCACAAGGACAAAGATTTTTGACATATATAAAAACATTTTAGATGGATTAAACTGCTAACATGAAGGTTCTGGAACAGCTTAATTTCATACCTCTTTAAAATGTATCTGTGCTTAAAAGCCGGGTCCTCTGCTTTGTTCTGTCCGCTTCAGGTTTACCTCTGTGTTCCTTGGGGATAATGAAAGGAGCATGGGATCGTTTACGCCAGTGCATCAGCCCCTTTGGCTCCATGTCCCGCTCCGACAACAACACTTTGCCTATTCTCAACCAGGTGTTTCAGTTCACCTGTGGAGGCTTGGCCTTGCTACCTTCATCACCAGCCCTGTCTGGATTACAGAGCTTTGGACAGGCAGATCCAAAATCCATCACTTTAGCCATAATGCACCAGCAACAGCGGGCTGAGGTAGCTTCCAATTTTTTTTCTCTTCTTTGTGAGAATATGTCCCAGTAACTGCTTTTAAGGAAACAATCAAATTTCTGTGTGTTGCTTCTTGGCAGCCAGCCTGTTTGCATGGGGCCACTGAATTTGCATGCAGTAAAATACCAACCATGCTTTCACAAACCTGCTCAGTCCCATGAAATAATACCTTTTTTTCCCCACATGCCAAGGTGGGCATGTTTGCTGTTTAGTTCATAACTTAACTCCTACCTCCGTCTTTCTGATCAGATGCGCTTGGAGGCCTTGTGTCAAATGTCAGCCTTCCTGTCTAAAATGGAAGAGAAAAACACTCGATCCTCAGCGTCCCCACACTTTCCTGCTTTGCTGCAGTCTGTGCAGCTCCAGTTTCTGTGTGGATGTTTTGCCTTGGGAACCCAAAACATAGGATCTCACTCAGGAGCCAGTTATGAGACCCAGCATTACATGGTACAGTGGGTAATCCTACCATCAAAAATGGTGTTTATGTTGAGCACATTTGCTTGAATGACAATATTTAACCAAAGCTCCCATTTTATGCGAATCCAGTGTGGAACTAATGCAGCATCTTTGGATACAAAGAGAGCACTAAAATCTGGAGCCCATACCTTTTACCAGCAAGTGGTGCATGTCCTCCAAGTAAGAGTCAAGCTGGAAAAGGACCATCCAGGTATTGAGTTTTATGTTTCATCAGAATATTATATTAGTACTCTTAGTAATAATTAAAATTATTATAACAATGTCAGGGATACTTTAAAGAAACAATAAGGATAAATTAAATATTTTAGATGGAAAGAACCAAAAAATAGAGATGTGAAGAACAAAAGTTATCTTTTTCTGCATTCTTCTCCAGTCTTATATGTGCAAGTGTGACCAAATGTAGTGTAAGTGCTTTGAAGTCCCCTGACTTGACTTGACCATATAAAGTCATGTGTTAACTGACACAGAAACCGCCAGAAAATAAAATCAAATGCTTTTTCCTGTTACAATGCTATGCAGCGCTTTACATTAAAGCTCCCCTTGGATGGTAATAATATTTTATAATTATATTGATAATCTTATAACTCTTTCATGAGTGTTTTTATGTATTCAATATATTAAACACGCTAAAAAATTGGTTTATAAATGCTTATTATATTGCAAGGTAGGAACCCAGTCTGAATTATTCAATACAAGTATTGATTAGGTTCATTATTTGGCAATAAACCAATCAGCTTAGCTCTTGCTCTCCCTTAAATAATACATAGTAAACACTTATGAATGATCTATAAATATTTAACAGATTAACTGATATGTTTATAACCTACTGTATTTATTAGCTAAGAAGAGGCTAAAACTATGCAAATACCTATTGAAGTGAAATAACAATAAACTGCATTGAGCCTTTTATTTTTAAAACTAAAATATTTGTTGAAAATATTTTGTTGAAAAATTGTTGAAAGACTTAACAAAACCAATGAAAAACCAATGAGGATTTTGCCTCAAAATTATGTTTTCAAAATAGAAATGTGAGTTTCGCATCAATTATGTTTACATCTGCTTAAAAGGTACTTTAAACTTAAGAAACTTTTGTGGTGCATATATTATTCATAAACTATGACTGAAAAAAGATTACCACCCTAAAGAAAAGGTTAGTTCCGGTTTACTGATAGAAATACTGCTTCTGGTTTTTAACTGTTCGTGTCACTTTATCACAGTATGTTCGCTTAGTGCTAGATTGTTCTACTCATAAACCTTTCTTCCTCAAAAAATTACCTTACATGTTATGTTTTCAGTTTGCCTCTGCGGTTTTGTACCTTTACTGTTTATATTCAGCTTTCTGGCACATAAGTCAGTATTTAATCCCTTTACTATGATTGCAACATGTCTACGTGAGACTCAAAGTTGTGATTGTTAATAAGAAAACAAAAAGCACATGTTTGCGTGAGTCACAGATAGCGAGAAGTGAGGATGAATTGACTCCTATATGTATCTACCATCCTTTGTAAAACAAAAAACAAAACAAAATGGAATATATCTGTGGTTCAGGAGTAACATAGTCTTTGTTTTCATTTCTTGGTAACCAAAGTTTGGTTTTATTTACCAAACAAAGTCCTTATCAGAGCTTAACTATAATGTAGATGCATCAAAAGCAAGCATTTACTCTTATTACTGCAAATTTAGCATAAGGGTGGCTTTGATTTGTTATGTTTTTTTTTCTAGGAAAACGAAGTGAAGTCTCTTATTTTTATCTCCCGTCTGCCTCAGGGTCCTCCCAGCATCTCCTCCTAGCTACCATGTTTGCTTTGAATTTCTGCTACCAGCCTGCTGATCTGGTGCTGGTTATCAAATGTGGCATCCTGGATATCCTCTCTACATTGACCAACAACAGCTGTGCACTGATGAACCAGGGCTGGTTGGCTGCTTCTACCTCAAGACCGATGCTCCTCAGTGGGGCAGTCAAACTGGCTTGTGCCCGCTTGCTTCAGATACTGACTGTAGCTGCAAGGTGAGCCTGTGTGTTCCCAATCCCTTCTTGAAGGGGTTACTGGTTTTCATCTGACTTTTTATATACCTTCTTTCATTATTTAAAGCTCTTGTGAAGAATTGTTGCCTTTGGATGTATCTCACGCTCTAATGGAGGTGATGTGTGAGCAGCTTTCAAACATCCTGCAGAATCTCCACCAACAACAGATAGCAGAGAGATTAGCAGCTGCGGGAGCCGCTCCAGACACCAACAACAGCAGCACAAAACTTGGTTTGACAAATTAAAACTGATAAACAGAATTGTATGGTTGATATGATTTTGTCTCACATGTGTCTTAAATATAAATCTTCATTAGAGCATGTTTCCTTGTTTGTTTTTTAGTCAAAAGCAGTAAGGTGACTGAATCTCAGCTTGCGGATTTGCTGGTTTTTCTGCGACGGGTGTTGTCATTGAGAGTGATGAAAAGACTTTCTACCTTTGTTAAGTGGATGGAACCACTGATGGCCATTATTTCACCAAAGTGCTCTTCCGGTAGGACCTTTAAAGACAGTAAGAACAGTTGCCTGAATGAATATCTATTGCAGAGCATCACATCATTACTCATTTTCTATTCAGGATCTCCATGCTTCCAGAACCTCCGCACCAAGCTCTTGGCCTTCCATGTTTTAGAAAGACTTTTACCTGCTTGCTCTGAGCCAGTTCAGATTCAACAGGTACGCATGATAAAAAAAACAAAAAACAAAACCCAGAAAGATTAGCTGAACTACCATAATATGATGCATGTTTATTGGATGTGGACTGATTATCCCCATCTTGTCTTTCAGATTGTAGAACAACTCTTCCAGCTTCTGTCTGTTTATATGTGGGAGGAACCTTATCCAGAGCGAAACTTTGAAGAGAAAACTGAAAAAGAGACAGGGGTATGTGTATATATATATATATATATATATATATATATATATATATATATATATATATATATATATATATATATATATATATATATATATATATATATATATAGAGAGAGAGAGAGAGATATATAGATATAGAGATATATATATATATAGAGATATATATATATATATAATTTTTTTTAATGTATTTATTTTTATTTTGACATATACAGCTCATTTGGTTATAGTTTGCCCTTAAAATATCACTGTGTACTTTTCTAAAAACAGAAAAAACTTTAGTGGTTGTCAGTCCGTCAAAATTGTCTTTTTTTCTCATTGTTTAGTTATTTATAGAACTCAACAGACGTTATGAATGCATTCAGTTTAGTGTTTAGTAACTTTTTGAGCTGCATTTTTTTTTTTTTTTTTTTTATTCAAGGACTTGGTTTTGTGATGACACTGCAGAATAGAACCAAATATGCTTATTTGCTCATATTACTTATTTGATACCTGTAAAGCAGTGGGCTTGATTTGTAAGACATTCTAAATGATAAGATTTGTTATTTTATAGCTCAGAAGGTGTTGCCCCCACTCTCCATTTTACTGCCATTTTCATCCTTTGTTGCAGTTTGTCTTAACTTTGTTTCTAACTCATCCTTCTACAGACTCCTGGCTATTTTGATGAATGTATCCCCATTGGGGATTTTTCCTTCGACCCAGACAAGATAGTCTGTTGTTCCTTGGAGAGTGGTAACATCCTGTCCCATGGCGCAGTTGGAAAAGGTTACGGATTGGCAACCACTGGCATTACCTCAGGATGTTTTATTTGGAAGGTGATGAGGAAAAAAAATCCCAGTCAGAACAGACATTTTTAACTGATCAGTGAACAAATATTGATCCACCTGTTTCCTCCTTTCTACCTCTTCCAGTTTTACATTACTAAAGAGAACAGAGGAAACGAGGGTACATGTATCGGTGTTTCCCGCTGGCCAGTCAGAGATCACAACCACCATACCACCACTGACATGTGGTTGTACCGGGCTTACAGTGGCAATCTGTACCATGGCGGAGAGCTGGTCCGTACGCTTCCCTCCTTTAGCCAGGGTGACACCATCACCTGCATCCTGGACATGGAAGCCCATACAATATCTTTTGCCAAAAATGATAAGGTTTGAACAGTCTTTTCTCATAACTTGCTTTTGACTGATTGCTTTTACTATTTTCTTAACCATTGCTTTATTTTGATATTCTTTTTGCAGGAGCCAAAGCTGGCATTTGAGGGCGTAGTTGCCTCTGAACTGTATCCTTGTGTTTTATTCTACAGCAGTAATCCTGGAGAGAAGGTATTTAATATACTAGGTGCTAATTTTTAAAGCTTACTGCAGTGCAGTAAGTGATGCTTGATGCTTTTTCCTTTTTAGAGCTCTGCGAATAACTCTGTCTAAACATGCAAACTTTTACCTAAGGATGACCCCTTTAGTTCAAACTAAACTACTTTTAGGTTAATGAGATAATAATAATGAAAAATGTAACTTTTAAAAAGCCGGAATTAAACGTGATAAACTGACGGGCTTCCTTGAAGGGAAAGAAAAATATATTTTGTTCCAAACTATGAAGGCTAACTGTAAACAAACTGTTTCTGTGTTGATCACAGGTGGCTCTACGTGACCTACAAATGAGAGGCATGCCCAGTAATCTTCTGCCTGGGGAGCCTCTCTGCAGCCCTCAGACCACCGTGCTGCTGGAGTCAACAGTGCAGCTACTACGTCGGCTCCACCAGTCCGATCAATGGTTGCCCCACATTAACCAGCACATTCACTCCCACTTGGAGCTCATTGGTGGTATCCTGAGAGAAGAAGACTCTAGAAGCTTTAAAAGCTTAGGTTAGAAACATCATTTACTCTGCTTTATTTAGACTTTATCTGTAAGAAAACATTTTTTTTACTCACAAATGTGGAAGCAAGACTTTTAAAGGGATGAAGCGACTAATTTCAGGCACTTTGAAAAAGTTATGTCTATTTTGTAATTGTTCCCTTTACGGTTCAAGCAGTTATTCAGGTAACCTAAGCGTTACTCATTTAAAGATGAAAATAACAAAACTTTTGGTTCCATTGGCCTGAGGTTGTGTGCTGAAATTAAACTTGGAAATGCTGGTTTTGTTTATTTTTTTAAATGTTGGTCAGTTGATTTTAAATTTTTTTTTACTCCATAGAAAAGTTTGAAATCTGAGGCCAATAGTGTTTGGTCTAATAATGGTTCAAATGGTTTCCTTAGAGTGACAAATAGTATCTTGAAGGGAGTGTTAATATACTGGACCAACACTGGGTTAACTGGGCTAATAAAGCTACTGTAAACTTTATTATCAGCCCCTCATAATATAAAATCTGACTCGACGTGTAACTCTGGCTGTTTAGACTGTTTTTAAACAAACTGCTGATTTTTTTAACACAGCTTGCAGAGCAAACCACCTGCACAGAATCGTAGAAAACTGTACCTTCTAGAAGGTATAAGAAAAAGATTTGCATAAAAAATTCAAACTGAATATTGTGAGAAAAGCCAATTGTCCTACTTCCATTTATTAAAATAAAATACATTTATGTCAAACGCTAACGTCAGTGAAGTCTCTTGACAATTCCCGGTTGCTGATCGGTCACTTATTTCAAACAGAGAGGGAAACTATTGACAGATGTTTGGATCCAAAACTTAATGTAGATATAGAACATCATAATGACCTGCTGTTTAAAAATCAGTAATAATTTCTACTTTCCCTTTAAATCTAAGCTCAAATAAGTTATTTTTTTAACTGATCTAGGGTATTCTTTTTTTTTTTTTTTGTCTCCACAGGCCTTAGTCCCCCCCACACACAGATGGAAGACGTTAAAGAAGACAAAGACATGTCTGGTGAAAACAGTGGGAAGTTCGCTGCCCATCGTCAGACCCTGTCAGACTCCAAGCTGACTGCTCTTTGCAATGAAGTGTGGCCAGCTCTGGCTGTGATTGGAGGGGTCGACGGCGGCCTCCGTGCTGGGGGCCAGTGCATGCACAAGCCAAGCGGTCGCAGGGCCATTATGCTTGGGGTCTTGAAAAAAGGAAGTTCCCTGGCTAAGCTTCAGTGGGAGGAAGCGGATCTCTCTATCAGGTATCACTACAGTCTTCTGGCTCATAATAAAGTTTTTTTTCGAATAATTATTCTCACCAATAAGTTTTTTTTTCTCCCATCTTCCCTCTTTGGCATCATTACTCTGATTAATTTCTTAGTGTTTTTCATTCTATCTGTTATTTCTATAACATTTTACCTAATCATTTCAACCCTAATTTTACTTTCTTCTTGTTTCCTTCCCCTCATTCCTTCATCATTAATCCTCGTTGAATTCGTGTCCTGGTGTCACTCCATGATGTATCTGTGGCTTCTTCCAATCCTTCCTAATAACTAAGCTCCATGAATTCTTGGTCACCCAGCGACACTCCGATCATCTCACTGGAGCCGTGTGACGAATCCTGCTGTGATGTCTCGCGCCTCGGAGGACTCAAGCCGGCGGTTTTGTTGGATTTAATATACTTGATGAGGCTGCTGGAGGAAGAGGGTTGGCAGGGGGTGTGCCAGACTCCCAGAGGGAAATACTTTGAGGAAATCCCAAAGGAGGAACAGAAACGGTGCCGCCTGGAAGAAGATTTTTCCGACGGTGGAACATGGCTTCCTGAAAGCGAAAGTAAAAAGTTAAAGGAACAGAAGGTTGAAACAGACTCTTTTCCGTCTTTAAACCCATCTTCAAAGACAGCTGACTCTGAGGAGTTGTCCTGCTTATCGCAACCTGCTCAGACATCTCAGACTTTAAAAATGGATATGTTTGCACTGGAAATGAGGACAGTCAGGGTCTCTTATCTTCTTATTGGAGGCTTAAAATGCCTGACAGTGTTTTTTACTTGCGAGAAGCTTTCAGATTTACTGCTTGTGTCCAAGCATGATCCTCCAAATTCCCCTGTGATTCCTCTGCACAGCCCCATCCCTGACCAGGCTAAGAGCAAACAATGGGATGAACATGCTGAGCTGAGATCGGTACTGCAGTATGTGGTTCAGAGCATGGTAAAGTGGGCAGTGAGGCCCTGTCCTATCAAGCAGACTGTATCTCTTGCTGATTTGGAGAGGGCTCAAGTCATGTTATACAAAGGAGCCCTGAGCAGACCGCAGGACGACAAGGAACGCAAAGGTATCCAAATCCATGTTACCAGGAAAACATTTTCATTGATTTACTGGTTTATTTTTATTTTTAGACTTTAGTTTTCCAGTCGAGTGCTCTGAGGGGCTCATAAAACAAACAAAAAAATGTTTTTAGTATCATTGCTCTCAATAGCTTATACTACTACCGGTATTTAAAAAAACGGAAAAAAAAATTAAAGAAAAAACTTATTTAATTTAAAGCAGTAGAGGAAAAAAACATGTATTGTTAAGAAATAATTATTTTCATGGGGGGAAATTTTCTATAATATACATTTAACAGAAGAATATATTAACAATGTATGGAAACGATTTGGAGTACTAATATGGCTAACACAAAATAAAATGTCTTATTTATGCCGATGTGTTGATCTTCTCAAATTAGAAAATGTTTACAAAAATAAGGTAGCTACTTACCCCTAAATATCTAAAGTTATTGCAATTAGAGAGAAGTTTAGAATAACGGAACCTTCACCAATCAAGGATCCCTTTTTGTTTATCTTTCCCCACAGAAAGTAAAGAAAATTGTATATGATTCTAAAATGTCCCTAAAGACTTTTAACAGAGAACTGCATCAAATAATGGCGTCTTGGGGGCCATAAAGTCTCCATAATGACAACCAGACATTTGTGGCTAGATCTGAATTAAGACTTTCTCTCAAAGTAACCAAAACTCCCTCCCTCCTTCTTTTGCAGAGTCAGGGCGCCATGCGTCTTCTCAGTCCGTTTCCAAGTCCTCCAGCTCAGTGTCGTTGTACAGCGCGGGTTCAGAAGGCACTGCCATCTTCAGCCAATCAAACAGAGTCTCTGCCTCATCTTCAAGTAATGACTTGGCATCCTCTTTGCAAGCAAACCTGCAGATGGATGGAGTTGAAAATTTCAACCCTTTCCTTCCCATCAGCCTCCTTCAGTGAGTATAGGTTAGGATATAAATACAAATCAGATTTGGTTTAATATTCACACGAGAAATTAAAAAAAATGTGATTTTTCAGTAAAATGTGAGAAAACAAGGCCATGTTTAGGGTTTCCATTCTTACTGATCACTGCAGACCTGAATCTCTTGGCAGCAGCTGCTGTTCTGAGGTCCGGGGAGAAGGTGAGTTAGGTTGTGATGTTACATAAAAGCAAAGAGGCTGTACCTGCTCTCTTTAACCAAGGCTGCAGCTGTACCTGCTTGTCCTTCTAACCCAACCAGCTGACCTGAAATAAATGTGTGAGTGTTTTTCTTAAGAAAAATTGTTTCAGCGCTGACTCAGTATGTTAAAAGGGACTCCAGGAAGGAGGTTTGATCATTTTGACAGGAAAAAGTTGAAGCATAAGATCAATCATAATATTATCTATGCTGTATTAAGTCCTGCTGCAGTCAAAATAAGGTTTGACTGAAATATTCATTATTTAGACTGAAACCTTATTTTATTAGTTCATCCTTTGAGCCTTTAAAATGAGACAGTAGATACAATTTTGACTTCAGTGAGAATTTAGAGCTGCGTCTTTGTTATTACTGTATATACTATATCTTCACCTCCTCTAGGCATGTGTTGCTAACTCGGTTCCCTACACTTACGGGCCTGGATAGCGCCCCTCCCTTGCTGTCCCCGTGCTTCAGCTTTGCGAGCGCTGCTGCGTGTGATGCCTTCACAGAGCAGCAGACCAGCTTCATGGAGCCTGGCCCCTGCAGCACACAGGCCAGAAGCAGCCTGGGTAAGAACAAGTCCAGCGATTAGAGGGTTTGGGGACAATGTCACAAACAAAAGAAACTCAGTATAGCTGAAAAAACTATCATCGATGCACATTTGTGGATGTAGAATCAGCTTGACATCTGTTCTTATGTGTAATGAGGTATAAAGCAGATCAGTATGGATTGATGAAAAATGTTGTGTTGCATGGTCTTTAATGTTAAATCACTGATCACAGTAAAGCTGCCGCTCAAAACAGCATGTGTTTTGTCTTGCTATTGACACATAAAAGCATGCATACACCAACATGCTGGAATGGCATATTATGGTCATCGTCAGTTATGCTGTGGTCACTCTTGAAATATTTCAAGAAGAAACTGAAAACCTCTCTGCTTCAAATCTTAACAGGCATATATTATCACTTTTATGACTTTTTATTTTTATAATTCTGAGATATGCGGCTCATAAAAGTTATTGTTATTGCGGATAGATGGGGGGTGGGGATGGGGGGAACAAGAACAAGAGGCAAAAGGATGCAGGCAAAAGTTCTAAAAAAGTGATAACATAACGTCATCAAGGAATTGGGGCATCCATTTAAAATGCATAAGAGAAATGTAGTGATAAAAAAGTCTGAAGCTTAAATATTTTACACAGCAGTTAGTCAAAAAAAAAAAACGTTATCTTAGAGCTGTAACCCTGAGACCTAACAGACTATCACTCTAGGGATTTAGAAGCACTCTTTGGCTGGCTTGGAAAAAATACATATACTACACAAAAAAAGACAACATAAAAACCTGAGACTATTCAGGTAACATCTGTTCTAGTTCAAACCAAGGAAATTTCTAAAAACATTATTGCAAAGACATCATCTTTCACACTGTTAAAACCAGTCTCTTCTTTCCACAATATGAAATTCTTGAGCCAAATAATCCACTTCAAGTAAATTCTACACACATGCTACTAAATGAAAAATCCTTCCTGAAATAATGAATTTTCATACTTAAAAACTCTCAACTTTCAAAGATGAGTTCAGTTGCCTGAGTGGATGGCTACTGACTGTGCTGGTACTTCCTACCATCACCCTGAGATTAGCTGGGTTATATTTGCCCCCTAGATCTGAGTTGTTACTTGTCTTCAGCCGTTGTCTCTAAAATGTAGTAAAATTTACCCATAAAGTGGTGAAGAATCAGCAAAAAACATGAGTTTTAGTTTGATTTATCAAATAAAAATCTAACGTGAAAGGCATAGGAAATAGTCTTCCTATTTGTGAATTGTTGCACATAGGTGTAAATGAGTGGTTATGTGCAAATTAGAATATTGCAATTTATTTCCAACTAAATTTAGAAATGGTGTACATTTTAAATTGGAGCTGTGGGCTTGGTTTGTTTCTTGCTTTTTGTGTACCTTTTTTTTTTTCCATTTTCTCCTAAACCACCAGAGCGGACACAAATGTTTGTCACCAGTCGTTTGCTAGAAATGGGATTCACTATGAGGCATATCTACTGGGCCATGGAGGCAGCAGGTACTGCTTTTGTAGTGTATTCGTTGCCAGTTTTTTGCTCCATGTGCTTTGAGTTTTACATTTTGTGGTCATTATGTGTTGATATATTCCAATGATAGTTAGATAGACCATCTATTTTAGCTCCTTTACACCCCCTCCAGCCATGATTACCACTTATTTGCACCACACGCAAATTTTTCCTGCACAGATTTATCACATTTTGCCATGGTGGTAACAGGACTCTTCTTCATTCATCTCTTTATTTAAACTCTTTGTATCCAAGATGTAGCAGGTGACTTGGATTCTCAAACTATTGAAGTCCTGGCGAGTTGGATGCTAGAGCACCCCCTGACTGACGACCTCCAGGCAGCTGAGGCACCTAGACTAGAGGGAGCAGCAGAAACTCCGTCGCCTGATGGACCAGAGACGGTGCAATGCCCTGAAAGGCCCACTAACCAAACAAGTGAAAGGTAAGAAATTAGAGAATGTAGTCAGAATTAGCAGGTTTTGACATTTTTACCTCGGCCAAGAAAGTTACGTTTCCATTTTGTGCTGCTTTGTCTGTCCTTTTTTAGAATAAGTAAAATAGTTATGAATGGATTCCAATTAACTTATTCCCAGAGGTAAGCCCCATGCCGTGAAAATGACCCAGATCAGAAGCTGGATACAGTCATTTCTGAAAGATTTCTCTAACATTGTGAGGTAGGGATATTTGGTGGAACAAGTAGCCCCTCCAAATCAGATGGTGGCAGTACTCAAAAAGACAGGAGGTATTTTAAACACTACGAAAAGGGGGCGTTGTTGGTTTGTTTGATGGATTAATTGAAAACTTATGTCTGGATTTTAAGGACTTTTTTTTATTATTATTTTATTTTTTTAACCAAAATGGCCAAATGTGCTGCTTGGTGGAGGTCTGCACCCTCTGAGTGCTTTTCTAGTTTTTTTTTGCAGTTACAGTTAATGAGAGCATTGGCATTGGCACCTACTTGTGTTCGAAATTGGGGGAGAAAAGTCGAGAAATAATGAGTTGTATATAATCTGTAAAAAGTACAACAGAAAAAAAAATATAGTTAGTTTTAAGTAAAAGTACTTATATTAAGTAGTCTAATATTTCTAAAACAATTTTAATATTTAGGTCCCAGATGCATTGGTTGCTGTGGCCGTGCCTTGTTCTCTTGAAAATAGGACACCCACATTAAACTGCAAGGACTGAGTTTTGATTTGTTTTGGTTTGAAATGTAGAGGAAATAAAATGAGAATTAAAATATAGAATTACTGGAGTTACTTTTTGACATCACATTCTTGTTTCTGATACTTAATCATTGTCTGAGGACAAAAGTCCTGTGCAAAATCTGAGAGTCCCAAGTGTTTGGATGTGTCATTATGTGCACAAAGCAGAAAATAGCTTCTTTAGCTATTCAAGCCTTCGGCAGGTAGAGGTGGGCTTAATTGGTTTTCTTAGTGATGTTAGTGATTAGATTTTCTGGATGAAACAGAGAAAAAGTAAAAAAAAAATAAATAAAAACACCAGCGCCTACCATAGAATCGGGCAGCAGCTGATCTACTTACGGTACTGTAATGTTTACCCTCTGTATAAACAATGATAAGTTGGTCTTTTTGTTTACAGTTTATTACCAGGACTTGACTGGATAGAGAGGGAGAACTTCTTGGATGTCCACCTCACTAGGAACAGACCTCCTCCTGCACGGCGCCGCCGCTCAGGACCCACTCAGAGGACCTCTTTCCGAAGGCCAGGTTAAAGTTGCATCTTAGTCCTCTTTCACACTGAAAATCCTGGGTTGACACGTGTTTTTCAAACATGGGTCGACCCGCTAAAAAAAGGCTTTTTGCTCCCTTTCCATTGCTGGTAGGCTGCATACTCTGTTCCCCCTCTGCTGTGTGTCTGGTGACACCATCACGCTTGGTTAGCACTGATGATATCACCAGTGCAACAGAAATTAGGAAAGTAAAAAATGGAGAGAAACATGTAAGGAAGCCAGGACGTAGCAAGTGTGCTTTATTGTTTTGCTCTTTTATCCAATCCAAATCCCTCTCACCAGTACTGCTCCATGTTTATCGTTTAAAAGAGTTGTTTCGGCTTGGTTGATCAGATGTGGCTGGCGCGCTGTGTTGACGTCCTTACTTTGCGTTCAGTGCAGTCACGTAATTTAGCAGGTCAAATTGGTGTTCCCACAGCATGACCTGGGTTTGACACGCATCAGTGAGCTGTTCCTACTGCCACTAAAAGCCAATTGTTCCTGGGTTTAATCAGGTTTTTCAGCCAGTGGGGAAAGGAGTAATGGATAGAGGTCATGCATTTACATACAACATAAGAAAAGCCTGCATTTTAATTTCAAATGATCATGTTTACAGACTTGCCGTCGCCCAGCCCTCTGCCACAACTCCATACAGCAGTGGGTGATTGGCCAGAACATGTGGAATTCCATCCCTTCTCTGCTGAGGAGGAGTCAGAGCTGAGTTACATGGATGACCCGTACCATGAAGAGGCCTACGAGGACCTTCTCACCCACTCATTCTTTAGTTTAGAGAGAGACACTCTGCAGATTGTAGAGGTGATATGAACTTATTACTGTCAGTCATTATAAATTATGAAATCCATTAACATAAAGGCTGCATTTAAAATTCTTAGATTGCATGAGTTTTTAAAGTACTGGAAATACTGAGTCCTTATGCTGTCTTTCTAATAGGCTGGAGAAGAGCACAGTCAGATGGTGAAATGTGAGCTTTGCAACACTTTCACGCTGCAGTTTAACAATCACATAAAACGTCGACACCCAGGCTGTGGACAAAGTGCTGCCCGCAAAGGCTACGACAGCACTGGAGCTTACGTGGATGTCTGGTTCAAAGGGGAGTGTGGCTCCAACTTCCCCTTCTACCTCCTCTGCAGCTCCTGCAGAGACAAATATCTGGCTGCTAACGGCAGTGATCCAAACTCAAAATATGAAAGGTACAGAAGGTGGTTGGTGAGTAAAAAGTAGAAGACATTATTTCAGATTTTAAAATCATGATTCTGCTGCAGGATCAAAGGTCTGACATCAGATTTGATTGGCCAAATGGATAACACTTCAGATGGTAAAGAAGGTTAATTCCATCTAAAGAAGAATGCACATTAATAAAGTAACCTTTGCACTAATATTTGTGAAATAAACTGAATAAGATTGTTCTATTTGCTCAGATGAGTGGGAAATGAGCCACCAAGCTGAGGACGGCCAGGGGAAACTGACAGGGTTGGAGGATTTTGGGCTCCTGCTGAGGCCACTGGGGCTGACTGAGAAAAAGCTTGTCCCTGATCCAATCGTCTTTACCGAACCAGATCCGCTTGGCGCTCTAGTTTACAGCTCATCCTCTCACACCAAGGGGGGCTCTAAAGGTATTATTGAATGTAATTTTTTATAAAGGGTTGCACACAAATGTAACTTCATAACCAAAAAGCAAAACATCAAAAACATTAAAAACACAGTTCCAGTGTTATACTGGAACGGTTTAGTTATCATCACATCAGAGTTGATATTACTCATCAAAAATCCTGGCCTCATCCAGACTTCACACTACATTGCTGTTTTGCACTAGTTTTTGTTTGTCATTGTTAGCATGAGAAAACTATAAAAACTCGTATGATGGCCTTTATGTCGGCTTTTGTCTCTTAGGAGCTGTGACTCTTGACCAGAAGACGTCTCTGAGCCTCGGGCAGCAGGCTGTATCTTTGAGGGACTCCCATGATCGACTAAAAGCGTTACGAAGAGTCACATCCACTGCTCAGATCCTCCTGGCTTACAGCATGGTGATGAGAGCGCTTTCCCAGACTGCTTCTAGGTAAATATTAGCACAGCAGTATTTCATTACTGTGTATATAACATGTAGTTTGACTGTTGATTTCTGTCTGGCCTTTTAGTGCATCTGTGTGCAGCCAGTCCAATGGGCTGGAGTCCTTGGGGCTGGCAGACATCCGGATTCTGGTGCGTCTAATGACATTAGCTGCCGGGGGCCGATCGCATACCTGGGTGGACCATCCTCCAGGAGTGCGGGGCCTGTTGACCGAACGCCACAAGACTACCTGCTTCAGCTTTCTCACATCAGCCATTGGGAACGTGATCTCACACAGCCCTGCTGCTTACAGGCAGCTGGTAGAGATATGCACTCAGGTTAGTTTGCTTTGGTCGATACAGAGACACATCTTCATCTTCTTATAGTGTCGCAGTTTATCACCAAGAGTCTGAAATGCAGTTCTTAAACTATATTTCAATGGACATTTGTGTCCTTTTTTTTTTTGAATAAATGTTTGCAATCTGCAGAGAAAGTGTGAAACCAACACATTTATTACTCTGACAATACTACCCTCAGGACCTGATGGCTGCAGCTACTGGGCTAAATGTTGGAGCCATCACTGAATCACAGCAGAGAACAACTTTAACAACATCTACTCCGGCAGCCATGCAACAGAAGGACCCCAGCGACCAAACGCCTGCAACCTTCCTGGTCACACAACATCTGGTGTCCCTGCTCACGGACAAGAACTTTCACGCTTGCAGCTTTGAAAAAACTGAACATGAAAATATTGGTAAGTTCTACCTAATGACTGCATTACATTGGTAATAAATGACGGTATTATTCATCATTTCCAAATGTGTCCATTTGACCTAGATGAAGGTAACCAAGGGGTGGCTTCCTCACCTTTGCCTCCTTCACCTCACCTAAGTGGCAGGATGGGAGCTCTGGAGCTAGCCAACGCTTTGGCAGCATGCGTCCTTTCTGCACGACCCAGCAGCAAACATCGACAATGGGCAGCACAGCAGCTGGTCAAGGCCTTGGCAGCTGCAGTGAAAGAAAGTCCCAATCGGCCCCAAACATACAGCGACCTTGCTGGTGATCTGCGCAAGTGTCCCCTTAAGAGACTTGAGGGGCATTACAACAAGGTGAGCTATATGAACTTGACAGAAAAGATTCAGGGCTTGTTGCTGTTGTAAACAAGTTCTAGAATTACTACTACTTGTTGTTTAGTACAAGAAATACTACTTCTATCTATATTCATACCAGTATTTTTTCCTGTGATACATTTTAGGGCTTTATTTGAAAATTTTTCCTTTTCTTTCGTTCTTTAAAGGTGGCTTGTTGTTCCTGGAGCAGTGACCAGGGTTTGCTTGCTACATGCTCTCAGGACAAGGTGGTCCAGTTGTGGAAAATCAGCCAGAGCACCGTGGAGTTACAGACTACCTTCTCCTGCATTGTCAGGTTTTATCTACTTTCTTCAACTGTTTTTGTTACTATCATGTCCACATTTAGAGTTATTTTAATTTGACTTGACTGTTTTCAATTTATACTTGAAAAAGTAAAGAATATATCCTAACATTATTTACCAGAAGCAACCAAAGAAATAGGATTTCTGTAGCATCTTAAAAACTCTGATCAGATTTTCTCAATTCTAGGCCTTCAGGCCTGTTTTCAGGATTTTTTATTTATATGTCATTTTGTTTCACATTAGTATTGTTGCTTTTTGGATATTTTACAGTAAGACAGACCGATCAGGCTCTGAGCGAGCTGGTAGATGTCAAAATATGCCTCCTGTGTTTTGGAGTACTGGCGGAAACTTTCTGGCTGCTCCCGAGAACAAATACATCAACATCATGAACATCAGAGGTGTGTTACTTGCGGTCATAGTTTGGAAATTATTATAACTTTGTAAACTGCTATAACCTGTACAATGATTATATGATTGTTTAATAGTTGTTGTTAAGCATAATTTGCACTTAAAATTACACACAGGCTAAGATTTTTTTGTATTTTTACAATTGACCCACCTTTCCTTCCATCCATCCATCCAGTCACTCTTCCTTATCTGGGATCAGTTTGTGGGCCCTTTGTACCTCGAAGGGAAGCCCAGACATCCCTTTCACTAGCAACATTCTCCCATCTCTGAGGCTGAGTACAGCCATCCTGCAGAGGACGTTCTGTCCTGGGTCTTTTCCTTTTGGTCATGTTGCAACCATAGATGAGAGTCAGAGCATGGACAGATGGAGCTTTCCTTTTTTGCTCTGCCCTCTATTCACCACAACAGACAAAGCTTCAATCACTCTGCCCATCTAGTTTTCATTCTACCATTGGACAAGGAGCTTAGATAATTCAACATCTCTGTTTAAAGCTACACTGCAAAAAATATAAATCTCAATAAGTTATTTTTTCTTAAAATAAGTGTCTTTTTCCTTGATTTGAGGAGGTAAGTAAGACACTTTGCCAATGGAACAAGACAATTTCCTTTTAAAATAAGAAAAAACTATTTTATCGTCTTATTTCAAGTAAATATTATCTAACTATCTTATTTTAAGAGTGAAAATACTCATTCCATTGGCAAATCATCTTATTTACCAGCTCAAATTAAGGCTAAATATACTTAATTTAAGCCATTTTTTACTTATTTCTGGATTGTTTTTGCAGTGTACAGTGTGTAATAATTACAGGGATATACAGTTAGAAATGTAATATATTATACATAACTATGTTATTTATTATCATCTACGAGCTCAGCCTCTTAACCTTAATATTTGCGTTGCCTTAGAATTCGTTATTTATAATTACATAGGAGCGGGTCTAGCAGCCATGGAGGCAGACATCTTTGCGCTACGGCAGCGCAGAGCCAACAAACTAGCGATTGCGAGATCGCCCATTACGCTCGAAAGTAACTAAGGCAAGTTGAGAGGGATGAACTGAGACGGTACTGAACACACAGACTAATGAAATACTATCTGTAAAATTATCTATGTAAACAAACCTCATCACTTGAGAAGGTAGGTGATGCGGACGTCGTGGAAGACATTTTGTCCCGTAACGCTCGCCGTACTGTTGGGGGGGAGAAGCGGTGGGGGGGAGATGTTCATGTTGCTGCGGTCTGCAGTCTGGACGTTAGATGTCGCTGAAAATTACACACTGTAGCTTTAAGAGCAGGAATGAACCTCAAGTCCACCTTTTTTCTGATTGAGGCCCCTTTACCATATCAAATATGTTCAATATATCATCAAAATATTAACACCTAATGCACAGTAACATAATGGACCTAAATCTCCTATTTTAATGGATTTGAATTAAATTTCGGTAATTACTTTGCACTGAAATAATTGAATGTTGCAAAAAAAGATCATATCAGAAACCAGTGGAATATATATAAAAAATATAATTTTGATGCTGAATTCTCTCACATTCCAGGATCTCTCTGCCATGTAGAGGATCAGAGCTCTCGGGTCACAGCTCTTTGCTGGGCTCAGAGCTTCAATCTGTGGTTGCTGGATCAGTCTGCAGCCTGCAAGAACAGGCCTACTGAGAGCCTGCTGGTGGGACGGCTGGATGGCTCCCTCTGTTGGCTGCAAGTCACTATGCAAGATCAGGATCTGCTGGTGAAGAGAACTGATCTGACTCACTGCCACAGACAAGAAGGTGAGGGGAAGGCTGTGTGCACAGATTAAAAACACAATCAGAAAAACAGGCTTAAAGATGAGATTATATTTTCTTTGTTCTATATTGTGAATACAAATGGCTTTTCACATAAGTTTACTTCATTTTCAAGCAAAAATAAAATTATTTGGTAATTTTAACAATCTTTAGCATCTTATAGAGGCGGTACTAAGATGATTCCGATTTTAACTGAGGTTTTTAAACAACTGGAAACTTAAATATTGTGGATATTCCCCAGCATGAAGAGGTTGAAAGTTTAAAAGGATGAAACAGAAAGAATTCTGTAAAACATCCAACCTTCTCGTTTCTTTCTCTTTCGGTTACCTGCAATAAATAATAAAAAATAAAAAATAAATGCCTCGATGTCTGAACATTTGCAAAATCCAGTTTCCGCGAAACACTCTCTTATCTACGATATTCTTCTCTGACCTGTGTCAAAAGATTTACATGAATTATAAAAGAGAAACTATTTAGTCTGTTTCACCTGCTGACACATTTTATTGTTAAATTAAGACTTTGATTTCCCCGCGCCCCTTAAGAACATAAATATCTTTTTAGTTTTTCTGCTATGTCTCAAAATTTTCCACCTAATGTGTTGTTTTTTTATTTCATACAGCCCCTAACTGTGTGGCCTGGCACTCTGAAGACAAGCCTTTTGCTGTGGGCTATCCCAGCGGGAAGATCCTGCTGGGCACAACAGAGAGCTATGAGAACACACAGCCTGTTGTTTTGTCTCTCTTCCAGGTTAGTCATACACTGTACATACATTTTAAATGTAGGTTAATAGAAAAAAAGTATTTGTACTTGATATGTGTCTGAATACTTTCAGTTACATAGCATATGTTATATACTTGGCAAAAAATGTAAAGATTGGGAGGTTTCTCCATGGAAAGATTAGATCAACTGGCAATTTGCTCTGAGATGGACCAGTAAAACACAAGTCTAAATTCTAAGGGAGCTGGTTTAGATGGTGTCATTTTATTTTATCTGTAGAAGATATAACAAATTTCAAAGTGTTACACTAGTAACTTTTCCTCCCCAGTCAACTCTGCTCTGTGATATACAGTGAGGAAACACCCTGCTATTTTCCAAGTTCTCCCTCTCATTGGTGCATATCCACTGTGAGAGACATAATCTAAAAAAGATAAAATTTTTTAAGTAGTTATTTGTTTGATAAAGCTGCAAGTAAGTATTTGAACACCTGTCTATCACCTAGAACTCTGACCTTCAAAGACCTGTTAGTCTGCCTTCAAAATGTCCACCTGCATGCCATTTATTATCCTAAATTAGATGCACCTGTTTGAGGTCTTTAATTACATAAAGAAACCTGTCCACCCCATACAATCAGTAAGAATCCAACTACTAACATGGCCAAGACCAAAGAGCTGTCCAAAGACACTAGAGACAATTTTTTACACCTCCGCATGGCTGGAAAGGGCTATGGGGAAATTTCCAAACTGCTAAGTGAAAAAAGTTCCACTGCTGGAGCAAAGATTTCATTAGAAACTTGAATACGCCAAACCGTCCAACTGGGGCTCCATGCAAGATCTCACCTGGTCTGGTCTCAATGATCCTAAGGAAGGTGAGAAATTAGCCCAGAACTAGACGGGAGGAGCTGGTCAATGACCTGAAAAGAGCTGGGACCACCGTTTCCTAGGTTACGTTTGGTAATACACCAAGACCTCATCGTTTGAAATCATGCGTGGCACCGAACTTTCCCCTGCTTAAACCAGCGTATGTCAAGGCCCATCTTAAGTTAGCCAATGACCATTTGGATAATCCAGAAGAGTGATGGGGGAAAGATATGTGGTCAGATGAGACCAAAATAGTAGCCTGTTAAACCAGACTAAATGTGAGATTAATTGTGTAATTTAGATAAATGAGATATCGGAAGATTGTTGACGAGAACAACCAGTTGTTTTTCAAACCATGTCTTTGCCTCCTGGCCAACGCTCTGACCAATGAGCGCAACTGACTGTGACGTAGAAAGCGCGACAGAAAGCTGGTGGCGAAGTGTAAATGAACAGCCTGTCGATGAAACAGTGAATACATCCTTCTTAAAAAAGAATGAGCGTAGAGCCTCTTCCTGCTCACGTTTCAATGAAAACCCCCAGTCTAATCCTTCCAACTGTTCAATAGTTGTTGCCATCTTCCTTGTTGTGCTTTCTCCAGTGTTGCGCAGCTTTGTCATGCCCTCCAAACCCCGCCCGCTTTGCATCCAGAAATTCAAAACACATCCCTGCAGTTCTAGGGCCTGGGGTATTGATCGAGGCTAGACCACTCGCAGGCAAAAATGATTTTGGGGCTCGTTTACTCTGCTACCAAAATAGAACTTTTCAGTCATAATTCCACTAACCATGTTTGGAGAAAGAACAATGATGAGTACCATCCCAACAAAACCATCCCTACTGTGAAGCATGGGGGTGGTAGCGTCATGCTTTGGGGGTGTTTATCTGCACTTGGGACAGGGTGACTGCACTGTATTAAGGACAGGATAACCAGGGCCATATATTGCCAGATTTTTGGGAACAACCTCCTTCCCTCAATTGAAGATGGGTCGATGCTGGGTCTTCCAACATAACAATGTTATGTTGGAAGACATGCTCCTAAACCACATAGAAAATCTTTAAAGGGAGCTCAAACTCTGTTTCTCAGCGACAGCCCAGAAACCTGACTCATCTGATCCAAAATCCCTCCTGCAGTGTGCAAACTCGATGAAAAAGTACAGGAAAACTACAGGAAACGATTATGTCTCTCACAGATGAAGATTTCAGACTTCTTATGATTTTTAAGTTGGAGAACTGGGAAAATAGCAGGTTTTTCAAATACTTATTTTCCTCACTTTATTTTTATCAGCCCAAAATCTGTTGATTTTCTTTAAATTCTTTGCTTTTTACATTCCAGTTCTCCTCTCCATCTCTGTCCTTTTAGGATACTGTCAGCTACCTCAAATGGGACCCCACTGGACACCTGCTCCTGTCTTTGGGGAGGTCAGAGGTGGTGAAGGTACTAGGACGCTCTGGGGGAACCTGGGTGACCCTGCACTCTCTTTATCACACCAGCATTGTTAACACCGCAGAGTGGTGCCCACTCGCTGGCAGAGCGCCCAGCCCAAGACTCATGATGGCTGTGTGAGTTGATTTGATACTTAGCATTTTTTATGAAAATACATATTTCCTCTTTAGCAAAAAAGAGATGGTAAAAATTTGCCTACATGGAATATAGATAAAATATTTGGTTATTTCTTTTCACATGTTTATAGAGGTTGTCAGAACGGGTTGGTTTATGTTTGGACTCTACCGCAAGGAGGTACAACTGTATCTTTGCCAAACATATTGAACAGCCCACCGAGCCAGGATAAAAGCTTCGAGGTGAAGGTCAGTTTGGGTCCTCTGAGGGACATTTTCCTGCATGTTTTTATGCTATAAATCTCATCCATTGTTGCTGCAATGATTTCTAACTTATCTGCTATCAGACTAGAAGTGAAAGCTGCTCAAATGACTTTTGATAATACACTCAGTCATTTTATTTTTGCTTTTCTATTTACAGCAAGATAGTGCAAAGTGTATTTTTGTACTGAAGGGGCACATCACAGCGGTGAAGTCCCTTTCATTTTGTTCCAGTGGCCTGGCATTGGTTTCTGGAGGGATAGGGGGGTTGCTAAACATCTGGTCTCTGCAGGTAAATGAGTTCTGCAGCAGCTGTGATTCCTTAAAATAAAACCAAGCTTTACAAATCGCAAACATTAATCAGCAATGTGAAACTTTGTCCTCTGTGGAAATACAAATATACCTGCTCTTAAAACCTGTATTGTTCTGTCTCTTCCAGGATGGTTCAGTGTTACAGACTGTTACAGGGCTCGGCTCTGTCGTCAGCACTACATGGATACCAAACTTGGGTGTAGCTGCTTGCTTTGGGAGATCCAAGGTATCTTTTTTTCATATCTGCAGAAATTAGTCTTACTTGCTTCTGTCATAGTGCTTTAACTCATTCAAGTTTAACATTGTGTTGTGCTATAACCACAGACCCTAATGTTGAATCTTTTGTGTTATCAAATGATTACTAAATTCTGTTGTTTCTTATTATGTTCTACCTTTCTATGTCCAATGTGATGTGAAATCCTCTTGTAGCTTAAAAGAGGTTTTCTTCTAGCTCTTTTCTTTATTTAACAGATAATAGTGTCATTTGTCAACTCTGACTAACTGTCCACAGATCTCATGTTTATGAATCTTATTAGAGGTAGAAACAATGTATGGTCTTTGTTATTTAGTCTTCTAGTTCCAAATAACAAAATCTGCTTTGTCATTAAACTCGTTAAGTTTTGTGATTTTTAATGTGAAAAATGTGTCAAACTTCAAAATTAGCAATTGTATCGGGAAGGCACTAGATTTGTTTAACTGGCCCTCATTGCATTTCTAGGATGTTTTGTTGATCTGCTGCACCCCCAACTGGATCAGTGAGAACCACGTGCTGGCATCCTGTCGAATGGTCTTGAGAAGCCAGAACATCTTGGGCCTGAATCGGGCGCCATGTTTGGCCGTCTTCCTCGAGAGGCTGCCACTGTTGCTGAAGGAGCAGTACAGCTATGAAAGGGTCATTACTGAAATTTTTTTAAGTGGATTTATGATTATTCTCCAGTATGTAACCGTTGAGCTAAGCTTTAGTGCATCTTGTTAATGCAGAGTCACGTGGCAGCTGGAGATCAACTTGTCCACAGTGCCTTCCTGCAGAACCTGGCCTCCCTGGCTGTTGGTTTGTCCTTAGAAAAACATCTGTGCTCGTATCCACGGCCTCCACATCACACCTATGCTGATGTTCCGTCCTGCCTTTCGGAGTGGAGCTGGCTGCTCACGTATGCCACCACTGTCCAGAGTGCAGAGGCCATCGCTAGTGGAACTGCCTTCCCTGAATCCTTTGTTGTTTCTGGTCTTCTAGATGTCCAGGACATAAATACCACCAAGGCTTTGGTGAGTTATGATTTTGGTGGTGTTATGTTTTTTTTCTTTCATTAACTGTCCATTGCTGATATCCTGTTTTATGACCTATAGGACAACAGCATGTGGAGCTTCAAGATGGATGAACAGCTGATGTCGTGGGCCACCAGCAGACCTGAGGTTTTCTTTTCTCTCCTTTTTTTTTACTTACCTTAAAAAAAGGTTTTTAGACAATAAACACCAAATTATTTCCACCTGACATTCTATGTTATTCAGGATTGGCAGGAAGGAGGAAAGACAGAGGTGTACCTCTGGGGTAACGGACGCTACGGCCAGTTAGCAGGAATGGGAACCAACCTCACCATGCCTACAGTAGCTCCCTCCCTGTTGCAGACGCAGCAGGTATCCCCTGTCCCTCAGGTTATCGCCTCTGTTTCTATTTACTGCTGTTTACTCATGTATCTGTCTTATTTCTGTGTTATCAGGTTGTTTGTGGGCAAAATTGCACTTTTCTGGTCCAGACCAATGGGTCTGTCCTCGCTGTCGGTGAAGGACAATACGGTCGCCTTGGCCAGGGGAATTCTGACGATCTCTATGTTCCCACTATTATCTCTGCATTTCAAGGTACGACATTTACCTTAACTCGCTCTTAACCTGCTTCAGTATTTTCCTGCGTACCAGTGCTGGAAGTATTTAGTTCATATTAAACAGGACCTGACTGGTGTTTCTTTATACAGGGTATGTTGTGACCCAGCTGGTGACCTCCTGTGGCTCAGATGGACACTCGATGGCCCTGACTGAAACCGGGGAGGTGTTCAGTTGGGGAGATGGAGATTTTGGAAAACTGGGCCATGGCAACAGTGAGAGGCAAAGGAGACCCAAACAGATCGAGGCTCTGCAGGGGGAGGAGGTCATCCAGGTAAACACTACTGGTGCTCTGAGCTGTCATTTATTGTTGAATTTGAATTATGTTTTGCTACAGCTCATTCCTACAACCAAACTTGAGTTGTCGAATTAAATTTTTTATATATTATTTATTTATTTTTAAAGTTGCACTAAATGTAACATGAAAGGAGCCTTTTAATACAAAAATGTTTTTATATTTGGAGAAAGATATTTTATTTCTCAGGGCTTTGGTTAAATGCAGTAAGGGTTTTATAGCCAAATATATATATATATATATATATATATATATATATATATATTTTTTTTTTTTTTTGGGGGGGGGGGGGGGTGTATATATATATATATATATATATATATATATATATAAGTTAAACACTGGATTTTGTTTTTAGATAATAAAAGATACTAAATGTAGAGATCTTTAAACGTGTCACTAAACAGCCCCAACAACTGTGTGTCAGTATATGGAAGGTTTTTCTTTCCACTGCAGTTGGGATCACATATTATGTTTTTTAGATTTGTTGTGATTTTATAATATTTCATTTTAACTGATGACTGCATGGATGTTTAGTGCAGCTTTAATTGGTTCCTGCTCAGCTAATCTTTTTGAGCCTCTGCCATGCAGTCAGTGTGAACTGTCCAGATGCCCCACTTACTGTAAATGCTTCACAGTTTCTCATTTTGTATTCCCAGTTAGTTTATCGATACATATCAAGATATTCAGGCAGGTTTAGACATCACTAAGGAGATTCAGACTTGTCCAGATCCACATAGCGGTATATCAAAAAATAGGTTTTGCCCTCTACATCTTATTGATCTTACAGTAATTGACCCAACTTTCCAAAAGCAGCAATGCATTGATGCAAAATTCAGAACGCATCTCCGTTTTATAAAAGTATTTTTTTTTCTCCACTGACTGATTTTTAGCATTTCATCAGGAACTGATGAAAAAAAAGAAAAGAAAATCCAACTCATGAAACAATCCAGTGCTTTTTTTTTTTTTTTTTGTCATTTGATTTTTCTTTTCATCCCAGTTATTTCATCTGCAGTTATAATTGGTTGTTCTTTAGTTTGGGTAGAAATTTTCGGTTTTATTTGCACTTGGATACAAAATGTAGCTTACCTGAGGAAATGCTTAGAAGAAATCAATGCCTGGATGTGCCGTAATTTTCTTCAACTGAATAAAAACAAAACTGAAGTAATAACCTTTGGAAAAATAAAGGAGAGATCTAAACTTAGCACACAGATTTAGTCGCTTCAGCTAGTAACAACTGATCAGGCCTGAAATCTAGGTGTAGTGCTGGATTCTTACCTGAACCTCCAAAAGCATTTAAAGACAATTACAAGGTCGGTGTTCGATCACCTAAAGAACATTTCCAGGATTAAAGGACTAACAAACAAACTTCCAGAAAACTGTAAAAGTGCTGAAAGCCTGAGTTCCTTTAAATCAAGACTAAAAACACATTTGTTTAGGATTGCCTTCGACTGTTCTAGTTAAACAGTTCAACCAAAACATCATTAGTTCAACTTTTTTATTTTCTTTAGTCCAACTGTTTTTGATATTCTTTTTTGTTTCTGCATCTTTCATTTTATTTATTTTTTCCTACTTGCTTTGATTCTGTAAAGCACTTTGCATTGTCTTTGTACTGAATTGTGCTATACAAATACATTTGCTCTGCCTTGCCTTGCCTTACCTAATTTTTTATAATATGTTTAAAGTTTGAAACCTGCAAAAATACACTATTTAGGAACAGGTTAAAATATTCTGGAAGTTTGACTGTGTTTGAATCAGTGTTTTACACCCTTCTTTACAGAATAGAACAGAGTTTGTGGTATTAGTCAGCTTTGAAAATGTTTTGCTTTGTTTGGCCAGCTTGCTTGTGGCTTCAGGCACTCCGCTGTGGTCACAGCAGATGGGAAACTCTTCACCTTTGGCAGTGGGGAATCTGGGCGTCTGGGTCTAAGGTCCACATCCAATAAGATGCTACCTGAAAGGGTCGCTGCGCTTGAGGGCTATCATGTAGGACAGGTAAGGATTCAAAAATGCTTAAAATGGAATTATTGCTTTGATGTCATTACAAAGGAGAACAAAAAAAATAAAAAGTTCGTCTGAATTTCTCAGGTGTCGTGTGGTCTTAACCACACCTTAGTGGTGTCTTTGGATGGAACTGTTGTGTGGGCCTTTGGCGATGGGGATTATGGCAAACTTGGAACAGGTTCCTCCACAGCAAAATACTACCCTCAGGTATGTTAATGCCATCAAACCATATAACCTGCAGGAAGCATTTAAGCCAAGTTTATTGTTTTTCTGAAAAGAAATTAGACGTAGTAGAAGGTTTTAAAGCTTCATGTTTTATGCTTCTTATTAATATGGCCAGGGTTGAAATGATGTCTTTTTATTTCTGTTTAGAAAGTGGAGCAATTGTGCAACAAGGGAATTAAGAAAGTCTGCTGTGGAACTCAGTTCTCTGTGGCACTAAGCAGTGATGGACATGTCTACACATTCGGACAAGGTACATCTTACTGTTGGAGTCAGTTATATTATTTCGTAGGCTGGTGGGTTCTTATTTGGGCCATTTCCATTATTGGATGGTGGACTGAGCACGGCTCCATCAGATGATCGAAGCTTAGGATACTGTTTATAATTAATCCCTGACTCTTTCAGGTGTTTTCCCTCCTCCTTATTGTTTATGTTTGCCACAGAGGAGGCTGATGTTTTGGCTGTAAAATATGCAAAGGTGGAACGTATGGTACTTATTTGTTTTCATAGACTTCATTTGGAGGTAATAGAGTAAAGGTTGCTAAATACAAATACAGGCCATATTTTTCACATCAATACATTTATTTCCCCCTTGCTGCTACTTTTTTCTTGCACTCTTATAACTTCCCAGTGCAGTGAATATTGCAGTTGTTAAAACCAGTTGAATGGATGCTAATACTTTTGCGTGGAATTTAAATCACTGTTCTCATTCTGCAGCTATAGCTAAAATCATGATATCTTTATTTTTGTGCAGCCATTTTACTATCCTAAAAGAATTTACATATGTTCAGTAAAAACAATGTTTTTATTTTTTCCATTTTCTCTTGATCCCTCAGAGCGTTTGATTGGTCTTCCCGACAACATGCTGAAAAATAAATCCACGCCGCAGGTGGTGCCGTCCCTGGAGGGGCTCTTTATTGATGACATTGCTGTGGGCTGTGAACATGTTCTGGCTCTGGCCTCCACTGGAGACGTGTATGCATGGGGCTGTAATAGTGAAGGACAGGTACCCGCCATGTTCTGTTACAGAACCACTAAGACAGCAAGGAATTTTACTATAGGACTTTTCAGAAAACATTCCATTTTAATTTGTTTTATTACCAGCTTGGTCTTGGACACTCCAATCAAGTTAAGGAGCCAGCACTCATAACTGCTCTACAGGGTAAACGCATCAAGCAGATCTCTGCTGGCCGATGCCACAGTGCGGCTTGGACAACTCCTTCTGTCTTTATGAAAAACTCAGGTATAGTCTGACTGTGTCGCTTTATGAACCATCAAAAGTGAAAGAACTGGAAGCCCCATGTGTTATTTTCACTGGCAGGTGGCTCTGGACACGTGCAGCTAGGTCTTCCCCAGTCTGTCCCTCCACAGTACAACACTCTGAAGGACTGCAGCCCCGATGTCCTCAGCATGCGCCTCAGGGTTCTATACCACTTCTCTGATCTCATGTACAAGTCCTGGAGGCTGCTCAATCTAGACACCAAGAACCAGGTACATTAAATATTTTAAATGTACTTCTCAAAAGGAGGCATGTATATGTAAAAAAAAGTTAGCTATTCCTTTAGTGTGAGCATCATTTAGCACTTAAAATTGCAAAAAAAATTGAAATACAGCCTTGTAATAAAAAACATTTGCAAACCTGTTAAGCAGGCCATACACTGTATGATTTTATTGCCTTTTTTGGGCTGATTTTCTAGTCATGCAAGAATTTTTTGCGTCGTGTAATATACAGGGTGTATTAAGGGGCAATCAGCCTCTCATGACCACTTTCCGATCAGGAGTCGTAAGGTCAGGAGAAAATCAAACATGTCTGAAATTCAGTCGGCCGTCATAAGATTGTGAGAACATGCATTGTGAGCTGTGAACTTTTAAATCCTGCGGTTTTGGCTTATAGTTTGAATTGTAGCTGTGTGCAATGATTGAAAATATCACGCAGTGTATGCTCGGCTTTACCGCTTTGTGAAATTTCCTTTTACCTGAAGCACAGTGTTTCATCATCTTTCTAATGTTTCACTGGATTTGAGTTTTCAGAAAAATTTCACATTGCACAATAACTCTAGATATCCCAAGGTTTTACGATCATTTCTTGTGTTTGTAGATTTGTGGCTTTTTATAGGATTTAAGCAGTAAAGCAAATGGTTTATTTTATGTTTGAGTAACCATTTTGGTGTTTTAAATGTTCCATTTGCTGTCATGCTTATCCCAAGCAGAGTCACAAAGGGTGCTGGTGCCTATCTCCAGCTATCTCCTGGCGAGAGTCAGGAGGCGCAAGTCCATCGCAGCTAAAGCTCAGGGTTTTAGTTAGGAGACCAATAAAAGTTTAACAAACTCTAAATCACATCATTTCAAACAACGATTTTTCTTCTTTCTCTGAAATTGTTCATAAAGGACCTGTTTGCATCTAGATGGTGTGTAATGACCCTACAGTACATGTTTGTTTACTTATGTTTGACATTAATAAAAACACATGCGAACCGACGGTACGAGCAAAGCTAATCTACTAATTGGATAAACCGTTAATCAATCATGCATGGGATATTAGTAGCTTCTCTGCAACACTGTAGTGGATTTTTTGTGCCAACAACTTGTGTGTGCAGTTATCAGTCAATGCACAGGGACACTGATGCATTGGGTTCAAATCATATAATACCTGTCGGGCACATACTCAACTCTGATGATATCTACTCAACCAGCTGTGGTCTTGCTATCCTCCTTCTCTTCCTTTTCAGCATTTAGATGTATGAAAGCAACCAAAGACACCCAATGCATAAACACACAGCATCTATAGCGGAAATGTTTGGATATAAACCCAGATGAAATGGCACATAGGCCTTCTTTGACTATTTCTCGCTCATAGTTTCTCTGTTTTCAATTTTATCTTTATATGTTCACTCAGCTTTGTCTCTGCGCTGAGCACATGCAGAAAAGGGGTGGAGTGGGAACACAGTAGAGATGAGGAGATTCACCGATTCACTTCAGTGGTCCGACACACATGCATTAGATGCAAATGCACAGGTAGAGTTAATGTACATCAGGTTATGTTTGAATCACATTGAATCGTGAACAGGAGTGATTTTAATTGCATTGTATCAACAAAGTGGGGTTTAGTGCATCGCAGTTATAACGTATCATAGTAGTATATCCAAATGTGTATATCGAAACTACCTTAATGGTGGAGATCTACATCCATAGAACACAGTTAATAAAACGGAGTTGAGAAAGCTTGTGTGAGATTTAAATACAGTGGACGAGTCACAATGCATGCTCAGAGTTGGTCACTGCTCAATGAAGTAGGTGGTAAAAAATAAATGAAATCACACCTATTAAGCAGTTTTGAAGGGTTGCAGATGTAATTTAGAGATCTTACTAGATCAGGCCATTGGTGTCATCCAGTTGTCCCTCTTTGCTGCAGACCTTTAAAAATTATATTTTCTGCATGAAGTAGAAGTCATTTACTTTTCCAATCTTGCTGCAAATTTAGCTTTACATTTTTCCTTCATGCTGTAAAAACAGCAAGTTGAGGTGAATCCTTTTATAAGTATCGTCTTGCCTATGCAGATAAAAAACATGTCTTTTTTTGGTTGCATTGGATGTTCATTTTTAAAAATGGCTAAGAGAAAAGAAGCTGTTTGACAGCTTTTATGCAATCAGAAAGTTGAGTAAATCTACTGTAATCACAATGATCTGCGGTCAGTAAGTTAATGAATAGTTTTAATATATTTATTTCAGCATAATTATTAGGGAAACCAGCAGCTGTAATACAGTTGTTAAAAACATACTCTGACTAAATAAGAAAAAAAGTTATTTTTTAATCAAAAATCTTGCTATTGCACTGAAAAATGAATTAATTCGTAACCATCTTCACCACTTTAACATATTTGTCTACACCCTCATGTTTCATTTCATATATCCTCTCAGATCTGCAGTTGTCTGTCTTATTTTACATGCTGTGCCTTTCTCTTGTCCAGATCTCCCCTTCACGCTATACTTCAGGGGCAACGGCCATCATCAGGGGTGAGCTCAGAGGTCTGCTTTCACCCAAGGTCAACACTCTGCCTCTTGTGCGCTCAATCGGCCGGACGATGACCCAGGGCAAAACATATGGGCCACAAATCACAGTGAAACGGATTTCTACAAGGTGAGACTTACTGTGTTATACAGTCCTGTGGCTAAACCGGAAGCTCTTCCGGGTTTGGCGATAATACAGGTGCTTGGCTGCCCTAATGCTTGGTTTTCAGCTGACCAACCAGGAGCCTTAGGGCTTTTATTTAGAATGTTGATTGTTTTATTTATTTGTTTTCTTGCAAACCCATTCTCTTTCTCTCCCACAGAGGGCGTTCAAGCAAGCCCATTTTTGTGCAGATCGCAAAGCAGGTTGTGAACCTCAACCCTATGGAGCTGCGGCTGCCGTCCCGAGCTTGGAAGGTGAAGCTGGTTGGAGAGGGAGCCGACGATGCCGGCGGAGTGTTTGATGACACCATTACTGAGATGTGCCTGGTAGGTGTTTGTTACACAAGTCGGGAAACATCACGGACAAAATTAAACCTGCCTTAAAATGACCCAACTTAATGTTTTTGTACTAGGAGCTGCAGTCTGGTGCAGTGGATCTCCTGATCCACACTCCCAACAGCTTTGCAGATGTTGGATGCAACACTGACAGGTGCACATTGTTTTTGTTAGTAAAGCAGAATATCTGATTGTCTGCAACAATGCCACCATTGGTAATGGCTCCAAATGCTTTTAGGTTCTTGCTAAACCCCGGGGCTCATTCTGAGGATCACATGGTACAGTTCCGCTTCTTGGGTATCCTCATGGCTGTAGCCATACGAACCAAGAAGCCTCTGGACTTGCATCTGGCCCCATGGGTGTGGAAGCAGCTTTGTTGTATGCCGCTGGCAGAAGCTGACCTGGAGGAGGTCGACCTCCTCACCTATCGAACCCTCCAAGGCATCCTTCACTTGGAAAACAGTGGAATCACCGCAGATAATTTCCATGTGGTGAGAAGCCAGGAAAAAAAATCAAATGCTTTCAGGGATTATTCTTAGTAAGAAGAGTTCATCATCTGTTTTCCTTTTTCTGTATCATACCTCCCACCACAGATGATCCCTCTGGATTCATTCATGGCCCACAGTGCAGATGGAAGACTGGTACCGGTGGTCCCTCGAGGTCAGAGCATCTCCCTGACATTTTCCAACCGCACCGAATATGTAGAGAGAGCTCTGGACTACAGACTGCATGAAATGGATTCACAGGTTCGGAGGTCTATGTTTCAGTTTCAGTTTGGTTTTGAGATAGTTTGGGGTCAGTATGTGAAAACACCTCAAATACAGTTTTATATCTTTCCCAAGGAACTACTATCATTGCTATCTTTTAAAACCCCTGGAATTGATTGGAAGATTGTTCACAATTTAAATAAAATAAATAGTCCTTGAACTTGCAAAACAATCAATAAATTTACCAACTGAGCACTTTATAGAAATGTTATCTTACACAAAGCAGTCTAGATTTTACCGGATACTGGGTAAATTAAAACAGCAGAAAAATGGAGAAGCATACGTTTTCTTTATAGTCTGTGTCTAATGTAAAACCACATTAAACATGTAGAGGAAAACCCAAGACAGATTTAAAATCATTTTAATTTAATACTTTTTTTTCTTTAATAAGAAATGAGAAAATCATCTCTCAAAAGTTCTTGAACATTTAAGTTGTATGAATTAAAATACTTATTACAGCCGGGCATACACCAGCCCAGACCCCAAGCAGCATACCCCACAGATCCCGACTTATAATTATATTTAATTATAAGATAACATGTAAAGGAATTTATAAACTCTCAATAATCAGTAGAAATGAAATCTCTTTTATAAAGGCTGATTAGGCTATTGGAAATTTTTTGCTGATTATATTCTATTTGTGGTGATGAGTTCCATGTCTCTGAGTTTTAAAGGCCTCCCTGCCATAACCCAAATTTTTTTGTCCCCTCCTTAACCTTTCAGCTTGAGCCCCTTCAAAACATAAATATTAATACCAGACAAAAGAAGCCTTAAGGTAAAGTTAAAAGATCTCTAAAAACCTTAAAATCTGCTAAATGGATACCTTAGTTTTAATCATCCTGCAGAGCTAATATCAAGTTGATATCTTGGACTTTTTTTTCATTTATTTGTGTAACTATTATAAGAAGCTGTCGGACACGTTTATTGTAATAATTAAAACATAAAACAAGGTCAGTTTGTCTATAAAAATGACTACACCATAGCAATCATTGTAGTAAGAAGTGAGGGTTGCCATCTGTCACCAGATCGTTTAAGACCATTATCCAGGCATGTTTACGCCAAAAGGCTAAATAAGTTATCAAATTGGTGCCACTAGTGATCCAGCCAGAATCTGAAGCTATTTTTTTCCCTGAGAACCTGGACATCTGACTAAACCTGCTTAGCTTGGAGATTCCTGCCAGAAAACATTTGCTGTTTGTTAAATATCGTCTGAGTAGCAGCTGAAAGCACGTTAGCCCTGATTTTGTTGGGTAGGGCAACCTTTATTTTAGGGCTGCAATTACAATTTACAATTTTGGTATAATTATTTCTCTAAGTGGGTTGCTCTTTCAGCTAAAGGCATGTTATAAAGTTTCTATAGTCTAGTTAACGATCGATAATCAAAGGAATTATTTTGATAATCGATTAATCACAATAATCCGACTGTTTCAGTCCTACTTTATTTTAATCAACCAAACATGTAATTATTTTCGCTTTAAGCAAATAAACCAACTCCTTTAGATGTAAGAAAATTAATTTAATATATTTTGAGAAAATGTTTGGATCCATATCCTCATGTTGCCAGACCTGTTGTAAGATACCATGAATTATGTTGTAGCCGCCCCTAACTGTCCACCTGTTTGTCTTAGCACTCACTAAACAACCCCATGTTGTTGTCTTGTCTTCAGAAAACTCAAAACTGAGCTTGTTCTTCCCTGACCAGGTGGATGCTGTCAGAGAGGGCATGGCCACCATCATCCCAGTCCCCCTCCTGTCGTTGCTGACAGCGCAGCAGCTTGAACAGCTGGTATGTGGCCTGCCAGAGGTATCTGTTGAGATGCTAAAGAAGCTTGTGCGCTACCGGGACATCACAGAGAACCACCAGCTGATCCGCTGGTTCTGGGAGAGCTTGGAGGAGTTCACCAATGAGGAGCGGGTGCTTTTCCTGCGGTTTGTTTCCGGCAGATCCAGGCTGCCCTCTAACCCAGCCGACATCTCACAGAAGTTCCAAATCATAAAAGTCGACAGGGTAAGGCATCATTCTGAGGACTTGTTTATCCGAAACAAAATTTGCAACAATGATCTTCAACATTTGTTTGTTTTTTCCTCATCTCTTCACCTTCAGCCCATAAATGGACTCCCTACTGCTCAGACTTGCTTCTTCCTGCTCCGCCTGCCCCCTTATACTAGCCAGGCCATCCTCACTGAGCGTCTGCGCTACTCGATCCACAACTGCACTTCCATCGATATGGACAATTACATGCTGACCCACAACACAGAGCCAGTAGAGAGCTCAGACACGGAGGAGTAAACTGACCACCATGGGGTCATGAATGTATCTTCTAAATTGCCATGCACATTATGCACTGAACACAGACTTTTATTTGCCAAACCTTTATGGTAGCGTACTATTTATATGTTAGTTTATTTAAGAAGATAAATTATTGTTTTGAATTTTCTAACTGTGCAAAGTTGTGTTATAATTATAGCAGTGCTACTGCAGGAAAAAGTCAGACTTTTATTATAGGCAACTTAGCCACAATAAGAGAAGTATGTATAATGTGCCTGTTTGGGAGTATGTTATAATGTAATGATTTATCACAATGACTGCAGTCCTTATTATTTGTTGAAATAAAGAGTGATTAAATAAGGCCTATTTTGTAATTTATTATTTCAATACATCTGGAACATTTATTGTAGCTTTGTTTTTGTGTTGATTTGTCTCCTTTATTATACAGAGCCAGGTAAAAGTATCCTACAGTATGGACTTTTTATATATTTTATCATCTTTTTGAAAGAAATACCGGAATATTATGTTATGGTCCTTCAGTTGCACTTCATTTAGAGGGATTTAAGCATAATACAGGTCAGCATGGTCACTACCACTACGCACAACACTATATGTGGAACAAAACTACTAATACATTTTCCCTGAACACACAACTTCATCTGCGAAACATGGTGCAGGCAGGATCATGCTGTGGAGCTGCTTTTATATGTAGGCACAGGTTATCCCATCAGAGATGAGGAAAAGGTGGATGAAGCTGAATAAAAGGTGATCTTTATATATCATAAATGAACTTAAATACCTTTTTTCTCGGGTATTAGAGCGATCTAACATTAGTGAAAAAAATAAATATGCAGCTGCATTTATACAGCATGTTCCCTAAGGATACATTAACAATGTACTGCCCTCCTAATGGTGTGCATAACCAAAATTAGACAGCCAGCCAAACTCCCTGAATGATAACGCGAGAGTCAGGATGTAGCGTCTCAAGCTCCAAGTTTACTGCAGACTCTTGTTGTCAGACAAGGTGTAAAACTGAAATAATACAGAAATAAGGTCGAATGAATTTCTAATACAAACACTAATGCATGAATATTAAACCAAAATGACATGAACTATAGTAGCAAATACAGTACAGGTATCTTAAAAATCCTGGATGTATGATATAATGAGCATATCCTATGCGGAACGATGGTGATGAATGAATACCTAGATATTAATCTAGCAACATGAAAATTTCCATCAATATATATTAAAACTAAAAGATATCCATGTAAATGATACATATTACTTACAGACGATGCTTTCTATGGCTCAAAGCAAACAGATGGTGACAGATGAAAAGACAGCTCCATAATCTGCTGAGGTCTCCATTAACTGACAGGAACATGTGCTACTGCAATACCACATTTGACCACATTACCAAACAGGGGGGCGCTAAAATGCCTAAAACTCAACTGCCTGGGAGGCAGAACACTCCCCGCCTGGCATCTGTAATGTCACTTAACTATTAAACTATCTAAATATCAACTTAGTCCTCTTTGGGAACAAGAAGAACAACAGCTGAGACTGGTCTCAGAAATGTCTTTGGAACCCCTTGCGCTGTAGTCTTCACTTCAACCTTCCGCACCTTTCCATCCTGGCTTGGGTGAGTCGCGGTCACCAGTGCCAGCGGCCAATCGTTTCTTGCAGCTTGGCTGTCTTTTAACAGGACTATATCGCCTTGTTGCAGGTTGCGGTGTGCCCCAACCCACTTGCGACGGCTCTGTAGTGTAGGGAGGTACTCCCGTCTCCATCGGGTCCAGAATGTGCTCGCAAGAGCTTGCACCTGTCTCCACTGGCTCTGGTGGAGGTCCTTATCTGAGAAGTCCCCAGGTGGAGGAGGCACAGCACCCTTTTGTGTGAGCAGCATTGCGGGAGTCAACAGAAAAGGTGCATCTGGGTCGGTAGACACTGGAGTAAGGGGTCTCGCATTAATCATCGCGGACACTTCACACATGAAAGTGCATAGGACCTCATGGGAGAGATGGACATGCTCCTGTAGCAGTATGGAGTCGAAGATCCGTCGGGCTACTCCAATCAACCTCTCCCAAGAGCCTCCCATATGCGATGAGTATGGGGGATTGAACTCCCAAGAGCAACCTTGGTCACTCAGGTATCTCTGGATACTTGACCCTTGTTGCTGTTTTGACAGTCCGAGTTCCTTGCTAGCAGCAATGAAATTCGTCCCACAATCAGACCTTAATTGCTTTGCAGGTCCACGGATTGCAAAGAGTCGCCTCAGGGCATTGATGCAACTAGAGGTATCCATGGACTCGACTATCTCTATGTGCACAGCTCTAGTGCTCATGCAGGTAAACAATATCGCCCAACGTTTACTTTCGGCTTGCCCGCCTCTAGTACGCCTTGCAGTGACTTTCCATGGCCCAAAAACGTCCAGCCCAACGTAACTGAAGGGTGGAGATGTACTGAGACGCTCAGGGGGCAGAGCTGCCATGGTTTGCTCTTCCATCTTGCCTCGTAGCTTCCGACAGGTGACACACCCATGTATGATGGAGCTGACGAGCCGTTTGCATCCAATGATCCACAGGCCTGAAGACCTTATGGCACCTTCAGTGAAATGGCGCCCCTGATGTTTCACCTGCTTGTGGTGGTAGGACACTAACAGGGAAGAAACATGGTTTCGCTTAGGTAGAACTAGGGGGTTCTTTTCAGTGTGTTTCAATGGTGCATGTGTGAGCCTTCCTCCTATTCTCATGAGGCCTTTTTCTACTACTGGAGTGAGCCTACAGAGTGGGCTGCTGCTTGGTAGAGCCTCACCATTTATCAGAGCAGAGAACTCAGCTGGGAAAGCTTCTCTTTGGACGGCCTGTATGATGACGTTCATGGCTTGTGAACGCTCATCAGGTGTGCGTGGTTGTTTGCACCAATGCCAGCCTTTACATCCCTTTGCGTCGTCCTTAGACTTGTGACACTGGACTATGTGGATGAGCAAGGTGACAGCTCTCACTAGTGAGTCCCAAGTAGAAAAGCGCTTGAACCTATCTGTTGTGAGAGATTGTACTTGGACCTGTGTTTGGAAGCTTGATACTTCGGGTCGCACATCAACATCAAGTTCGGGTCTAATGAGTTCGAAGGACTCGGACTTCTCCTGTAGACCATCATACGGTCTTTGAAGGAAAGCTGGTCTGCTGAACCATGTAGTTCTTGCAAGGTTTGATGCAGAGACAGCCCTGGATGCGTGATCAGCTGGATTGTGCTCTGTTGGTACATAGAGCCACTGCTCTGGCTTGGTCGACTGGCGTATCCGTTGCACTCTGTTGTGTACATACACGTAAAATCGCTTCACCTCGTTATGTATGTACCCCAAGACCACTTTGCTATCACAGTAAAACTTGACTGCATCCATCTTGAGATCTATTTCCTCAAGGATGAGCTCTGCCATTTCTACTGCTAGCACAGCGCCACAAAGTTCAAGGCGAGGGATGGTAGGCTTACACTGAGGGGCTAATTTGGCTTTCCCTAGGACGAAGCCGACATTGCTTTTCCCATCTTCATCAATGGCTCTTAGGTAAGCAACAGCTCCAATAGCCTTGGTGGAGGCGTCAGAAAACACACATAGTTCCAGTCGTCGTGCCTTAGTAAGGGAATCTGATGTGTAGGTACGAGGGATGTGCAGCTCCTTCAGCTCTAGGAGTGAGTCTCGCCAGGTTACCCATTCACTTCGTTTCTCCTCTGGGAGTGGAGCATCCCAATCAGAAGTGTCACAGGTAAGTTCCCGAAGTAGAACCCTTCCTTGCACTGTGACCGGAGAGGCTAGACCAAGTGGATCAAAGACACTGTTGATGGTGGACAGGACACCACGCCGGGTGAACGGCTTGTCACCCACAGTTACTTGGAAGGTAAATGCATCACTAGCTATCTCCCAGCACAACCCAAGACTTCGTTGTAAAACCGTGCTCTCCTCACTCAGGTCTAGATCCTGTATACCTACAGCATGATCCTCTGGTGGGAAGGCCTTCATCACAGCTGGGCTGTTGGAGACGATTTTGTGGAGTCGAAGGTTTGACTCAGCAAGAGATGCTTGCGTCCGCTTGAGGAGGCTGATGGCCTCTGTGTCACTGGGCAAGGACATGAGCCCGTCGTCGACGTAGAAGTGTCTCTCTATGAACCTTCGTGTGTCTGCGCCATGTTCACGTTCCCCTTCTTTGGCAGCAAGCCTCAGCCCATAGATGGCAATGGAGGGTGAAGGGCTATTGCCGAAAACGTGCACCTTCATCCGGTACTCGATTATGTCTTTCGTCGGGTCATTATCCCTGAACCACAAGAACCTCAAAAAGTTGCGGTGGTCCTCTCTGACCAGAAAGCAGTGAAACATTTTCTGGATGTCCGCCATGATTGCCACTTTCTCCTTTCTGAAACGGATTAGGACTCCCAGCAGGCTGTTGTTAAGGTCTGGGCCTGTCAACAGCACGTTGTTGAGGGAGACACCACGTTCCTGAGCACTGGAGTCGAAAACCACTCGAATTTGACCAGGCTTCCGAGGGTGATAAACTCCAAATGTTGGGAGGTACCAGCACTCCTCGTCCTGCATCAGGGAAGGGGCTGGTTCGGCATGATCGTCCTCAAACACCTTTCTCATGAAGTCGAGGAACTGTTGTTTCATCACAGGTTTCCTGTTCAGGGTCTGACAAAGTGAGGAAAGACGATTGAGTGCCTGCTTTCGATTGTTTGGGAGCCTCCTTCGTGGGACCTTGAAGGGTAATGGGGCGACCCAGTTGTTCTTGTCATCTCTGTACACCTCAGAGTCCATGATCTTTAGAAATGCAATGTCTTCGATGGATTGAGCAACCTTATTGTCATTTTCTGTTGTTTGAAACAGGTTCTGACCCAAGCGATGCTCAGTAACTCTTTCTAGACTGGACTGGGGGGTGTTGATGAGACTGCTTGGTTGCTCCCCGCCGTGGCACATCTTCTCTTTCAGATCAATGAAGTTATTGCAAGGTGACAAGAAGGAGGGACGTCCCTTCTCCAAGACGTGGGTCTTGAAGGCGCTCACCCTGGGCTTATGGGCGTGTCCAAGGCACACTTCCCCAACCACCGTCCAGCCTAAATCCAGCCTCTGAGCGAAGGGGGAATCATGGGGTCCATTTATCTGCTGGCGCACCTTGTGTGCTCTTATGATGTCTCTCCCTAGCAAGAGAAGGATTTGTGCGTTTGGATCAAGCTCAGGGATGTGCTTTGCCACGGACTTTAGGTGGGGATGGAACAGAGCCACCTTTGGGGTCGGAATTTCTGACCTATTGGTGGGTCGCATTCTATGAGTGGCGGCAAAGTGAGTGTAACTCCCCCATTCACAGACTCT